TGGATTGGATTATGACAACTGTGTCTGCACCTACGCTCAGCTCACGTCTCTTTCTGCATGAGCTTGTCTGTGCATTTTAAGACATACAGCAAGATCAGCTGAATGCTTTTTCCCCCCCAGGTCCATTCACTCAGATGATGTGCTAATTAGGTCACTGAGAAAATCAAAGATGTAGAATCTGGATTGAGCACTCACCAACTGGCTCCTACATATAATTGCTGTATTTTAGTTTAATTTGTCTTAAGATGTTTTCTGATGTCTCTGAGAATGTTACCCATAAAAAGGCAGACTGCACGTCAAGAAAGCAAGTCAGTGAACACATGAATATTTTGAGCTGCAGAGTGTAGCATTCAGTATTTATCACTACAGGAAACAGGCATGTGACTTCTCTCTCACATGGCAGCTCCTTGCTGTATGCCTTACTGATTGGAAAATAGCAAAAATATTCTGCAGGATAATTTCTGAAGAAAGGGCAAGGCAGTGGAACGATCCACAGTGCTAACATTTTGCTGCAGAATGATCCCGCTTTTATCCCATAAGTCCCATGTGCTGGAAGAGAACTGACTTGCTGAAAGCAGAGATGAGTTACTGCAGAGTCCCTCAGTTTTTCTGCTTAAATAGGGGTTCTGTCATAAGTGTGACCTCAGAAGTAGCAGCGTGACCTGACAAACAAGCATATTTAATCTGGTCCTTGGTGGATTCAAGTGTATTTTGTCCATGAAAGCATATGCTGTGTATGCATACAGGTAGGAGTGAGTGCGTCTCTGTGTTGGTACAATTTGAGAGGGAGATGAAGGACTGTTGGAGCACTTCAGGGTATTGCTACTTGGCAGGAACACACGTACTCCAAGGCAAACAAATTTGCTCAATGTTTTTATGAGTCTCTGAGCTCAGCTGGTTCTGGCAGGGATGACTTGACTTCATCCAGAGAGGCGGTAGGGGGGAGATCATTCCAACTTTCCCTTTATTTGGGTAGTGGAACATGAGTAACTTCTTTCCAGAGCTGGAGGGAGTCGCCTTGGGCTCCTCGTCACGCACAGCATGTCATACCGCATCTCTCGCGTCCCTTCCCAGCATCTAGTGCAGCTCCCTTGTATGGCCTAACCTTAGTGCAATACGTAATTGCCTCTGATGCAGCAATTTCAGAACAAGCACTTTGGACTCTGTGGATTAACAAATAATAATAAAGAAAATAGTCTTGCAATAAATGCTAATCACACCCTATAGGATTGCACTGAGTTTGTCATTAGATAGTAGATATTAAATGTGGAAATACTAACTTTCCCAGAACCTTAGAGAGTTTAGAGTTCTTTGGAAATGTGTAACTCTCCCTCTAAACATACAGTTTATTTCCCAATACAAATTCTTCATTATTCTGTACCTAAGGCTGAAAGGCCTCATCATTTACCTGAGTCAGAAATGCCTTTAAGAGAACACAGTCATTTACTGAGATGAGCAAATTCTGGAAATTGAGGCAAAGGTTCTGTACTGCAGGTGAAACCAAGCTGCCACAAATTCTGCAGGGGGGTGTGTGTATTTGCGACCATTTAGACAACTGTAGCTTGGCAAGCTTCGCTATTCCTCCTTTTCCTTTGGTGGCCTCTTGCTCTTGATTGTTGCACTCTCTTCTGTTCTCCTGAAGCCAGAAATACTTCTGCCCACTTTTATCTCACTACTTCTCTGTTCTTTTGCAGTCTTCTGCAACTAGACCATGTTGTCTTTGTAAAACATTCACTGCCTGACACACGCTTAGAGTGCCAACTAATTCTGGTCTGAGCTTACGAACATATCATTTATATTGAGCATGTGTCTCTATTATGTGCAAAACTGAGCTGGAGGCTAAATGATAATTGTGTCAATCTTCCCCCTGACCTAGCAGTAATCCTCTTGATGGTACAAACCAAATAAAGAATGGAATTTCTGTGCCAATCTATTTGTCAGCCATAAATAGGCAATGTATTAGTCAAATTTTCAGAAGTGAACAGCAATGTATTTCTGAACCCTGGTATCTCCAAAGTACGTGTAGATGTTTGCTTTGGAGTTCCCTGGTATTTTTGTTGTCAGCTGAGAGCTGATGTGGTATTTGTGTTGTCTTGATGAACATTTAAAGAGTGTAAGAACAGAACTAGGTATAAAATGGGAAGCTTTTTAACAGAGAAAGTGTCTTTCCATAGGTATGATATTGCAGAAATATGAATACTTAAGCTGTTCAGCATAAATAAGGAAAAGCTGATTTAAAAGCCCTTATTTTCAGAATGATGTATTTTAGTGATTTCGAAATACAAAGTCCTTAAAAGTTTATCTGCTACTCAGTGGTGAAGTCCAAAGCTTCACATACAGGTGTAGCATTATTTTCATCGGGACTTCAGGATGATGAGAGTGCTGACACATCATCTGACTGTGGTGATGAAGTATATCTGGCACTGAGCATTATGGGCCTAATTGACTTTAACGCCATTATGGAAAATGAGGCGGTAACAGCAGTATTATATTTTCCCTGCGCCTAGGACTTAGAGGGAAGCAGAGATGCAGGTTCAACTGTCTTTGGCTCTCCCTTATAAGGTGGGGTGAGGCCAGGGGCTCTTTGCCTGCTCTAGTCTCATCCCGAGCACATGGGTAGGAAGCAGGGGTCAGCCAGTAGGCCCAAGCCAACATTGTTGGTGAAATAAGCTTTTGCCCCTAAAGAGAAATCCTTCCTTTTGTGAAGAAAATAAGTTATTGTGTGTTGTAGCTCCTCCCTTGGGTTCCCCCAGGAGCAGGATGGCTTCATCTGTGTGACTGGGAGATTAGCTCTGAAACAGGATCCTGGGTTTAGCTGGCCTTTACTTTCATGTATTTATTAATGCTATTCTGTTCTACGTTAAATTTGTTTGTTGTTGAATGATTCCACAACCTTTCAAGAAGAAAATATCCAGCAACACTGGTCAAGCACCATCTTTAAAACAAATGGAAGTTTCTGAGTGACCTGAAATAAATGTAAAGTGTTTGCCTAGAAGAGATTTAGCAACAGCTCTATAGCACTGAAGTCCAGACAAACAATGGAAAAGCGATGACATTTTAAACTTGGTCTCAGTCCAAAGCATCCTTGTTTTACAAACTGATCTTCAATCATATTCTGTTACCAGTAATAGCAACAAAAGCCCTGCAGTATGTTTGCACAGGGCATGAATTTAGCAGAGAACATGATCTTAACTTTTGCACATAGAAACAGAGAAGTTATGTTTACAAGAGCATTCTGTGTTGGCTCCCCTTCTTGCGTGGGTGTGTGTAGGGGAGCGGGGATAAATGCCCGGTCTCTCTCTAAGCTCTGCTCTAACCAAGCTGTGATGCTTATTGATGCGATTTTGTGATAAAAAGTTGTGATTCCATCATTACACTTTTGAAACTCTAGCTGTAAACCTAGCCTAACCATTAAAAATCAAGAGCTAAGCACTTAAATATTCTGAAATATATTTATTAACAATAATAGCAATCTTTTTTTAATGGGCCTCTACTTTTCAAGCACGTAAATTGAGTTTTTGATTGCCACAACAGCTAGAGGCTGTTGTTCAGATGCTCTCCTGCAAGTAGAAAAATAATAAAGGAATTTATATTTGTGTTGTCAGACCCAAGAAACTGGAAACAGGAAGAGAAAAAATTTGAAATTTTTGGTCTAAGGCAAAATTTAAATGATAACCATTAGTTTTTCCCTTTCCATTCACCCTTCCCTCACAAACCCTGCTACTCTGGAGGGCAGATGTGTCTGTAGACTGGCTGTGATATTGTGACCCCCAGGTAATTTGTGCCATTCTTTAAGTTGACATATAGAAATATGGGAAAGAAAAGAGCAAAATAGCATGTGCAGGCAGGTCGGAAGGCTGGGAAGAGGTGAAGATAAGAGAATTGTTAGTGCTGTTGGTGAGAGAAGGGGAATTGCCACAGCTGTGGCTCCTGGCTGCTGCTGCTGCCTGGGAAATGTGTCACCACCACGCAGCGGCACGAGCTGCTGCGGGGCGGGGGACGCTGCACCCCCCCGTATCCTTGCTCGGCGGGAAATGTGTCACCACCACGCAGCGGCACGAGCTGCTGCGGGGCGGGGGACGCTGCACCTCTCCGTATCCTTGCTCGGCTTGTGCTGGCGTCGGCGAGGTGCCATTGTCACGAACAGGAGTGCTCATGAGATGCTGTTGTCTGCATTGCCTTCTCCTCCCGCACCCAAACAAACAAACAAACAAAAATTCCCAGCTCTGGTATGTAGCAGTGAGATTTTTTTTTTTTTTTTCTGTTGCTGCTATAAGATGATCCAACAACGTATTACTGGATTTGAGAGGTGTTGTTTGAGGGGGAATTCCACCGCTGCCTCAAAACCAGCAGTTTACAGTATCCTGAGCTGACCCCTGCTGAATGTATTGCATCAGGTCTCAAACATTTTGTTGCAGGAGCACAGCAGCCTATTCCTTTCATAGGAATGGTTTCATCTATTTCTTGCTGTTAGCTTAATAACCTTTTGCTACTTGAACTGTCCTTTCTGCCAGATTATTTTTTCATAGCTTCCCCTGGGGTTTGGCCATGAGCTGAGTGTATAAGAGACCACTAAAGACGAAGGAAAAACCTCCAGAGATCTTAGCTGAGCAACCCTATTTAAGTAATAAAACCAACTGTGTTTGATGAGCCAATTACATACAGCAAACATTTAAAGGACAGAATGCCAAATACTTATTTGTAAGCCTAAGCTTTTATTAGCAGCACTGCTACATTTATAAAAGAATATGATCCCTTTCTGAGCCTCACAGACTACCTGCATCCCTGTATTAATTCAAAGCGCTGCTGGATGGGCTTTGTGAGTGTTGTAGGACTAATCCCCGTGGTTTCTTGATTATGAGCATGTGCAGAGCAGCCGAAGGTACAGTCGTGCATGTAGAGCTAACACACAGAGACCTGCCTTGCAATGCCATGTTTGTGCATGTGTTCCTACAACTGAGAAGGATACAGGGAGCCTGCCTGCCTTCCTGCCTTATCTGATGTTTTCTTGTTTCTGTTTCAGCATTCAGGAGAATTCCTTCAACACGACAGCTTTAGCAGAGTAAGTGAACACTTTAAAGATGTCCTTATTTTTAAATAAGAAAGATGAGTTTAGTTACTGTAGAGAATGATCGTAAGTAGTATGTGAGAAGTCCCAAGCTATCTGTCATATATTTTGACTCAGTTTTCTGTAATCTAAGTATATTACTGACTGTATGGGAAGGATTGCATCTGCCTTTACATGGTCTGTGACCATTTAGCAGTGAAATACCTTTCTGGGAGAATGTATGTTTGATGCACATCACACATGTTTAAATGCATAGTTTTCAGTGGAGGGTAAATCTCCTGTGAAAATATTGCTCGTTTCTGATACCGATGATCTTGACAAACACAAGTATGTCAGTTTTCTAAGAACACATGGTCTGTACTTCCTGCAAGCATTAGTAGACAAAAAATTCTTTGCAAGTATTTTGAAAAAAATAACTATGCGTTATTTAGGCAGGCCAAGTACCAAATATGTCATTTTTTTGAAATCAATTCCATAAACTCATTAGAAGGCCTTTCATATGTATCATAATTATAAGGAGATATAAGTTCATGGTTTTGGTTGTTGTTTTGCAGAGACAACAGAACGCGACAAGGGAGAACATTAGAAAGTTAGAAAGGCAAAGCCTTTAGGAACTATTACAAATGAAATGGGTTTTGTTTTATTTCAGTCTAAACCACTTCAATTTTGGTGTTCTCTACATTATTATTTTGCATGCTTTTGATTTTTTCCAAAGCTTTTAGGGAAGATTCTTCAGCAGTAATATGCCAAGCAATTTCTCAGGAATGAAATGATTTATAGATTTATTTGTGCATTAGGTGAGTTTTACACTGCTAAAATGCTCCTAATTTAAAACCCCCTAGCTGGACAGTAAGCTGTTTGCCTAAGTGTTGTGGGGGAAGGATACATTCTGAAAGCAGGCCAAGTTGTAATTGTCTGAGCCATCCCTAAGTGTTGTCAAAATCACTGCAGGAAAAGCAACATTTCATAGCAATCCAGATAATTTCCTTCTCTTACATTGCCTTGCTTTATTTGCTTACATTGCCTTGCTTTATTTAATATTTTACCTTAGTCACGCTTTTTGTGTGATTGTGGCAGATATGGAAGGATTTAACAGAAGCTAATAAATCATTAAGTCATTTTTTTATTATTTTCCTGTGTCCCTATTAGTTAAGTGATGAATTGTGGTCTGTAAAATGCTGGGATGCTCCCCCTTCACAGAAGATTAACCAGATTATAGAAAGTACTTTTTCCATATTTTTTTTCTCTTTGTCTTTTCTCTGTCCCTAAATGCATCCACTGTTTCCATGCAGAGATTCCCCTGGAGCAGGCCCTGTGTCTGCCTCACCCATGAGGTTTTTGGGACCCGAAGGTGATGGCCTTTCCCTGTGGTGCTTCATGTGCTCATTAAGAGAAGGGGCAGGGTGGCACAGAAGCTGACTGTGCAGGGCCAGCACGGCCCTGGGGGCGAGGGGCGCAGGCGGTGCTGTGCTGCGCTGAGCTGAGCAGCGACATGGCAGAGCTGGGCCTGGGCCAGGCTTTGCCTGAAGGGTGAACCTCCCTCATTTAAGCTGTTGTTGATTTTGTTTCAGGGGCTTTCATTTTTATAATCTTATCTTCCCAAACGTAGAAGTAGAAATATACTTTTGGACAACAAAGCAAGCAAACAGCAACATCTGAAAAGCATTGACCAAATGAACAAACTTGGTTTCCAGAGTTGATTTCCCTAAATCCTGTTTAGACCCTCCCCCCAAAGCCAGTTTTTGAGAACTGCTGAGGATACACAATTCTTACTGATTTCAGCAGTAGTTGTTTGTGCTGGCCAAATTGGAAAATAAGTTGCTTTTATTCAGCAGAATAAAGAGAGAGCTTGCCATGCAACTTTAGACATCCTCATCTGACAATTTCTGTCTTTACTTGTGGTGAAGGCAAAATCAGGGCTTCCTGAATGATACAAAGTCAGTGATACAATACTTTCAGACATTTATCCAGACAAGGCAAGTGCCTGGGGCTGCTAAGCTTCCAGCAAGCCACATGTGCAGCCTGGTTTAGAAGTTGTTCATGTGAACATCTTAAAGGTCAAGTCAGCAAAAGGGAGCAGTTTTCAAGTTGTACTGAAATGGCTCCTACGGAAAGGTGAAAATGGAAGAAAGTTTAAAAAATCCCACTAAACCAGAGATCCTTGGAAGAAACATAGAGAGACGGTACTGTAAAGAGTCAGAGGAGCAGTCCACCTAGACTGGGATCCCATCTGTGCCCTGACTCTGGCCAGGCCCATAAGATCAGTAGTGGCTGTAGTCACTTTTGAGAGACACGTCCATCAGCCAGTAGTTACATTGGGCACTGAAGGAAAAGGATTCACATCACTGGTTTCGCCAAAAGACATACTCCCTGCTCCCATATGGATTTATGACTTGAAGCTGTTCTGAATATTCTCTGATGTTTTAGGAATGAGTGAGATGCTGCTCCAGTTTTGGGATTGGTGGGCACTCTCTCTACTATGTTGCCACAAGCTTTCACAAAACTTATCAAACTCTTGAATGTTCTAATCTGTTAAATATAGCTAAAGTTGGACAGCAAGATTTACAAGTTACTGGTGAGAGGAGTGTGTGCATGTCTGGGTTGATATGTGCAGACAAGTGGCATGAACACATAAGCTGCATGTCTTAAAGAAGTCAAGGTAAAAACACTCTGTGCTTTAATGATGGGTATTTGCATTATATGATGGATTCGTCTTTTTAAAGGTCCTGCTATGGTCTTAGCCTCAAGCACTGTCTCGTGTGAGTGAGCTTTCTTGGATAATACTTATTCTTACAAGGAGAAAAAATTCCATTAACAATTCCAGAGTGTGTGGCTTCTGAACTTCCTTACAAGCTTTTTATTACATGATGGACACAGTCTTCTCTGATTCATTATTGCTTACCTTTCCTATCTACTGCTATCTGGTTATCCAAATACATTTTGTCATGCTTACGTTGTTTATAAGTTCTGTCTTATTACTTTTAACACTTGCTGGATGCTAAGTTAGGATTTCTACTTCTCAAGACCACCTTATTACAGCCAGCTTAGGGAAAGCAACCCCCAGGACACTTCCCCAAGTTAAGGAGTATACACACATGTATGCATGCATAGACTTGGCTGATGGACCCGTGCTCTGTCATCCATCATCCCTCCAGAGAGTGTTCCCAGTCACCAAAATGGCCTTTCAGGACTGAAGGCTGCCAAGTGTGGCAACTGGTGTGAGGAGGGGGTGAGTGAAGCTGGCTGCAGAGCTGCTTCCTCCTGCCTCCTCTTCCTATGGCACACACAGGAGGGATTTTGTCCCCTTAGAGGGTTCCTGGGCTTTGTTGACTGTGGTTTGGCCCATGGTGCACAGCGTGCCTGGTGGCATCTTCACCTGCTCTCATGTCTGTGCTGGGAGCTCTGTCCATCCAGCTCTGACCTTGGCACTGTCTCCTCACAGTGTATTTCCTTGCTGTGTTTTTCTCCCTCTGAAATTTTTCATCGTGTTTTCTGTCTAGGTTCCTCGTTCCTTTTGTACTGGGCTTCCTTCTTCACGCCCCCAGTATGTCCCACCCTCACACCTTGCTGGTGTCAGAGGCCCATAAGGTAATTAGCCATAGACCAGAGGGGAAGGTGTGACTGGCATCTGGAGGCAAAGGCAATGAGATTTCTACAGTGAATTTATCCATTCTGTAGAACAACCCCCGTCTTCCATCTGTATTCCCACTTTGGCTTGTGGGGAGAACTGCACCCGCTGCAGGAATATTGTGTGATTAGAGGGGATCTGCAACCATAGTTATATGTTCCAGTTGCAAGCAGCAAATGCTTTCATCCATATGCTGATGTATTCAGGAAGTGTAAACGCTTGAGTGTCCCTTTAAATATTTTCTGCTGCAGTCTGGCTTTTGATAAAGATACTAGCAGAAGACTGGTGGGAAAGAGGAATATATTAAAAACCTCACCATCAAATTGCAACGCAGAGCTATGAGTTTATCACTCAATGTGCCCTGTCTTAAGTGGGGTAGCTCTTCTGAAAATTTAACAAGTCGGCGGAAGCACAGGCTGCTTCCCCCATGATGAAGAGATTCCTCTGCCAGCAAACTTCAAGTGATCCAGGCCTGCTTAGTGTCTGTGCCCTGTGAGTACGAACAGAGGGTGAGGAGAGGGCCCCAACTTTTCCCCAGAATTAACACCCAGCAAGGGTGTATGCATATTTGCTAGGGTTGTATGCATATATATGTATGCTTATTTGAAGGAAGACTGCTCATGCAGTTATATCGTTCAGCAAAGTTCAGCCATGCTGTGCAATACAGTGTTCAACGCTGAGTGCTTAGCGTATTTATCCAGGCTCCTCTTTTGATTAGGCAGCCTTATGACAGTTCTCTTGTTTGTAACTTAAGGGGATGTGATTGATTGTGATTCCTCAGCCATCTTAGAGAATTCTGCGAGTTCACTTTTTAAGACTAACGATCACTTTTGTTTGGGGATTCTTTTTCCTGCTGCACAAAGAATGACTGCTCTACTATAGTTAATATTTTTGTGAGTCTAGGAGAAAAACAACCTTAGCTAATTGTTTCTAATACTTTTTTTTTTTTAATGTGAAGTATGCTATAAGCAATTAAAATACAGAATTTCTTGTAGTTTTCCTGTACTTTTTATGGTAACATCTGAATTCTTTGTCGTCATTATTGCCATCTAGCTGAAAATGATATACCGAATTATGTCACTTACCATCTCAATTCCTCTTCTTCCTAAGATTTACACTATCATGGAGCAGCTATGGCATTAAATGACCCTGGCTAAGGTGTGAGAAGGAGAAATGTGTTTAATAACCATCATGTTATTAAAAGCTAAATTTCTGCAGCTGGCAGAAAATCAGTAATTATTTTGTATCCATTTTCAAGGTGTGACGAGGATTCAGACTCTGTACATGAAAACCAAGCAGCCAGTTCCAGCCCCAGGTATTCTACTGCAAATTTTGTCTGAAATCCATGGGCAACAAATAAAGCTGTCAGAGTGCTTCTCTTAAACCATTAGAAAGAAACCTCTATTCTCAAGGGAATGCAAAATTTCTGGGGTATTACTTGCTAAGGCTATTAGTTTTTTGGGGAAATGCATATTTGTCTTGTATACTTGTGTGTAAACAATATTAAGATTAATTACTGTTGTTATTCTATGAGTAAATGTCTTATGGTCTGTGTTCTTAACTTCACATCATACTACTTCTGTTCAGATGCAGCCCTGATGCTGATACATTGAATTTTACTGTACAGCAGCTGGTACAAAGTAGTAGTAAGTGGAGTTTTGTAACTGTGCAAGGATATACTCATTGATGAGTGCCTCTGTGAAAAAAAACAAACCTTCAAATTGTAATTTAACTGAAGTATTCTTGAGGCATGTGTCTCTCATTGCTGTGCTAGTGTATGTTGATTGCTAGAGAATGCAACTTAACCTTTCAGAAAGATTTTCAAATCAGATGATGCCTTAAAATTAGCAACACTTCCGCATATTTTTGAAATGCCCGTAGCATATAAAGCACCCTACCCTGTAACTATAACAACTGTCTTGGAGCACACTTGCAGAAGGCATGGGCAGCAATGGTGTTTAACTCCATAGGCACCCTGCAAGCATCCATCTGGATGCTGATGGGCCACAGATGGAAAGTGAGTTTGGCAGCTCAGAATCCTTAGGAGAAAACACTGAATTAGCAAGTTATGCTTTCTAAAAAAATATCTGGAGTGTTTAATTCAATAGTCCTTGACTCTCTTGGTTGTCAAAGTTTCACACCAGGAGAGAGGTGATCTCTCAGCTAACCATTAGGATTTTACCAGCTGAAGCGAACATCTGAAATTCTACCTGCAAACTAAGCAGCAGTCGGGGATTTCAGAGCAGTAATGCCGATCTGCTCATCCTGCCAGCTAAGTAGGCAGCTCGCATTCTGCATTGCGGTACCTTTCTTAATGGTGCCAGAGAGACACTCTCGGTGGAAGACGTTAGACCAGCCTAAAGTTGGATTGATTGGGTGTGGATAAGATTAGCAAGGTCTTCTTAGGACAGGTTGCACTCGGTAGGCTAGGTGGAGGTTGAAAAAAATCTGTTCCAGATTTAGTGGTTAACTGAGCATCCGTGAGCAACAGTGTCTTGTTTTAAAACACCAGATGTGCTCTTATACAGGAGGACCTTTTCTCCAAACTGGGAGCACATGATACTTGTCCCTTCCACCCAACCACGTCTCTGGCTGTTCAAACCCTACTTTGTATGCCTACCTCCCTCACTTTGTCCAAAAGCCCTCAAAACCAGAGACTGTTGGAAGGGAAGGGTGACTATAGGGAGGAATTATTGTACGTGATGACATTTTTGTGAGATTATAATCTAGTGTGAATCATTGGACGGGGCAAGGTCTTCTGCATGAAAAAGGCAGTTTCAGATTTTATTGGGAGAATATGTGAACTATAGGGCTGAAGCCAAAGAGCGCCTCTAAAACTGATCTTACTTAAATGGCTCCACAGTTGAATGTGTAATAATACTAACAGTAGTTTAGCTTGTGATTTGACAATAAACAGTAGCCTCTCAGATTCATTTTACTAACATATGCAGTGTTTGGTGTGTAGACTACTCAACTTGGTAAAATTAAAATGCCATGAATAGCTAAGAACTTGTTGCTGTTCTTCCTTCATAATGTTTTGACAGGTGTCTGAAGTCTGAATTGAATGCCTGATGCATTTCAATTTTATTTTCTTACAGAGATGATGATAACAAAGAAAATTATCCGGACAACGCTGCTGTCTTAGAGGAAAGGCAGCTGCCTTTGCAAGATACTCAGCAGCACAAGCAGCAAGCTGTAAATGACTACACTCTAAAGCCTGAAATGGGCAACTTAAAGCTAAGAAAACCTAAGCCCATTGCAAAGCTAGAAAATGGAAAAAGCCATGAGGAAAGTCAGGTAAAGAACCAAATTTACCAAGGGTAGGTTTATGGCACAGTGTCTGAGCAAAGGTACCTTTTGAAATGCAAAGTGGGACTCGCTGGTAATCCGTGATGTGACTGAGACCCCACAATAATCTACCCTGATTTTCAGGGACCTGGAGTCCTAGAGCCCTCCTGTAATGACAGACCATTTCTTTCAGCCAGGCAATTGCAGAGAGGGGTGTGTTGCCACTGCTGTCAGAAGTGAATGGAGAGCTTAACTGAAGATGGGCAAATCTCTCTCTCTAGGTTTCTTGTGACTGCTTGCACCAAATATCAAAACCTTGGTAGTTGCAGCACTTGCTTAGACTTCTTCTGTCTTGTTTATTTGACTGAGGATCTCTTGCACTGATATTTTGGCTGCCAATGGAAAGATTTCGTACTTTCCCTTTATCTTACTTTCAGTTTTTGCTCATCTTTAAATGATAGATCTATTCTAGTGCAGATTCTGGTGTTGGTGCTTTTGCCCACAGGCTTCCCCAGGTTAGAGATGAAGGGAGCAGAACTGTAACTTTTCTAAAGGCTACAAAGGAAGACTGGAAATGAAGAAGCTTCTGTCGCTGTCTGTGGAGGTACATTGCTATGTAGATTCCACAGTTACCACCTCCCAGAAGCTGCCAGAAGTGCCTCTGTTCTCCTCTAGTGCTTCCCAAGTCAAGTTTGATGTGCAGTGTAAGGCATAGAGCTCTGGTCCAGGCTTAACCCCTCAGCTAGAAATATTATCATAACCAAGATGGTTGATGTGAACATTGGTGATTGTTGGCCTGTGGTAGGCACAAGGCCTGAGACATGTCTGTATTTACATCTCTGATGTATAATGTATTTGGCTATTTTCCATCTCTCCTCTCTTGTTTGTGGATAGGAATTTGTAGAGTGCTTTCTAAAGTGCTTTGAACCCATCATAGACCAGGAATGATTTTTGTTCATTTTTTAAAATTCAGAATGGGAATTCAACATTTTGGATGGCATGTCTTTCATTCTAAGTGAGGAATATCCTTCTGAATTCCAGAAGAAAAAGTGAAAGCAAATGGCATCACAATGGTATTATCATAGTCTCTTCCAGAATATCAGTGTCGACTCTTGCCCTGATCTTGCAGGTTTTTGCCTGAGTTCATCTCCGAGATGAAATTATAACTACTGATTTTTTTTTTGTAACTGTATTGCTTTACTAGGAAATGTTATTTAGGCTGCAGGCAGATGAGGGGTGCATGTTTATGAGCAGATAAGAAAAATGATAGGAAATTTTGCCCTGTGAAGAGCAAGTGGAGGCGTATCAGGAAGAGGAGTCATGAAGAAGTCTTAAACTGTCTGGTCAATCATCTGTTGCTCTTTTGGCTACTTCTGAGTCTCTTGCCTGCCAGCTCCCTGTGTATGCCATGCCCCTATCTCTCAGCAGCTAACATAGCACAGACTTGCTGCTCTACGGTATTGCACATGACCTGAAGTGGTTAACTGAAAATGTTGGTATTTTTTCATGGGAAACTTTTTGAGTATATAATTAGACTGCCATAAAATACCAGTGCAACTTAGATATGCAGCCACTGGAAGGAAAAACAGTGTCAGGCAGATAATTGTCACAAGGCTAAAGGGCTTGAATTAGGAAAGACAAAATTGGTCCTGGGGCACCACACTACCCATTGCTCCCATCTCTGGCATACTGGAAGAGGTAAGATGTGTAGGCACTATTTTCTCTCTCCTCTGATTTGATGGGAGTACTTGAGGGACGAGAGCTAGTGTAGAGCCTTGAGTGTAATGTGAAATACAAGCACAAAGCAAACATCCCTTCATAACAGGAACTCCGCTCGTTCATAGAGAGAATTGTATCCTAGTTCTGTGAAAGACTTTTCAGTGCATATCATATAGCTACACAGAGTTCAGTGGTCCTTGGTGTAGAGGAAAGTGTTTGCCTCTTGGAACAGCTTGCAGAAGGAAGCTGTTTTGGAGAAAGCATCTATCAAGCCCTTCATTTTGCACAGACTTCATTCTCATCAGTAAGGATGTGCATGCTCCTTGACCTGTATGCTTGCCTTGCTGCATCTTCAGCAATCTCAAGGGCTTTTCATCTTAAAGAAGCAAGCATCTGGCTCCTGGCTTCGTTAAAGGTGCTGATGAGAAACAAGGCTCTGCTTGCAGAGGAACTCTGCGAAGGGTTTGTTTCTGTGTGGGGGTTCTCGTTGGGATTCTTGATGTGTTATGATCTCTCAAACCCTATTGCAGCTGTCTGTGTTAGTTGTGAACTAGTAGCAACTGCTTTTCTCCATTTTGAAGCTGAAAGCAAAGTGCTGCTGTGTTGTTTCTAGCAGCTGTTGTTTATAAGTATGTGGCAGGTTGTTATTATCTGGAAAAGTGGGCCAGACTGATGCTTTGAAACGCTGTGCAACTGCATGTACCTTCCTTTTGTGAAGCACCTTGCCACCAAGCCAGTCAATGAGAGAAATTATGTACTTACAAGCAGCTGATGTTGAACTGACAAACAACAATATCTGAGTACATGCATTTATGAAAGAAAAGCATGATGCACTGCACACGGTGATTAAACTGTTCATCCTTGCTTTCCTGAGTTTATTGATAGAGTGCTTTTTCAACAGTCTCCTCACTTCCCCAACCTGACTTCTCTGTGGCATCAGAAAGAAACGGTGACAATATTACGGTGACAATATTGCAGTGACAGTATCTCCTTTAAAGGTGTTGCTCTGATAAGCCAAGGAAATGTTTGCTACTCGCTCCTATGTGTTATAAGCCCATGAGTTACTTTTTAAGAAAATTGTCCCTTTAAAATCAGAATAGGCTGTTGAGAGATAAATAAGTTTGCTGCATGTGTTGGAAGGATTAAGGTCTGTTTGGATGGGAAACAATTTTGTGTGCCTTTCTACTAGTGAGAATTCAGGGGATTTCCATTGTAGAAAGGTCACTGAGAGGGAACAGATCGCTGTGTTCAAGTAGAAGCAAGATGGCTGTGGTGGTTTAACCCCAGCAGGCAACGAAGCACTGCACCGCTGCACCACCGCTTGCTCACCCTCCCCCCGGTGGGATGGCAGAGAGAATCAGGAGGGCAAAAGTAAGAAAACTCATGGGTTGAGATAAGAACAGTTTAATAATTGAAATAAAATAATAACAATAACAATGATAATAATAATAGTAAATCGTAGTGACAAGGACAAAAAAAAAGAGAAATAAAATCCAGGAAAAACAAGTGATGCAACCGCTCACCACCCACCAACTGATGCCCAGCCCATCCCCGAGCAGCAATCATTGCCCCTGGCCAACTCCTCCCAGTTTATATACTGGGCATGACATCCTATGGTCTGGAATAGCCCTTGGGCCAGTTGGGGTCAGCTGTCCTGGCTGTGCCCCCTCCCAGCTCCTTGTGCCCCTGGCAGAGCAGGGGAAGCTGAAAAGCCCTTGCCTGGTGTAAGCCCTGCTCAGCAACAACTGAACCATCAGGGTGTGATCAACATTGTTCTCACTCTAAATCCAAAACACAGTGCTATGCCAGCTACTAGGGAGAAAATTAACTCTATCCCAGCCGAAAGCAGGACAATGGCCAACTTGGGGATTTTGAGCTTCACAGGGCTCTCAGTCTGCTGAAGTATGATTACTGTGCCTCTGATTTTTTTGAAACCAGTGTGGTACTGTGGTCATGGTCTTGATGAAGAAAAGGTTATTACATTTACAGTAATGACTGACAGGACCAAGTCTAATAAAAGTGCAGTACCAAGTGGCTTCACTTGACCACTTATCAGCTGATAAAATGTCACTAGCATAAAGCTGTACCTTGGAGATTGCATGCGGTTATTTCTTTGGGGGCGGGAGCTGGGTATGGAGGCAGCCGTAACCTTTCCAAAGCATGGGAAGCTAGGCAGGCTGCTGGAATGTGATTACACTGCTGTACTCCAGCTACTTGGTTTCATCTTTCCTATGGTTTCAGGAGCTTCTTTAGCAATTCTGCAATGTTAATCAATAGAAAATCAAATTAATTAGGATTTATTTGTCTTCAAGAGGTGAGGAAGCATATGCTCAGAATGTACTCCGGGGAGCCCGTGTGAGAACAGATGGTGAGGAATGGGAAGTCTGCTTTCCTTGCCTAATCCTTTCTCTGTCACTCACCTTCGATGCACAGTCATGGATGTAGATTATTAAATGAGTCATCCTCAAATTCCGTATTGATAACGAGACATAAAGTGACACTAAACATGCTAGCTAATAGGTAGAGACAGTAAAAGTTCAGTTTTAAAGTCATATTATCAAGGTAAATTACTTTAAAAATGAAACGGTGGCTTGACAATGAAGGCCTAGAAATAGGAATGGTGAAAACTGCTGTGTGAAGTTTTGTATTTTGAGTATAAATTAAGTGGGCAAATTGCATGGATTTCAAAGAATTTCCAGTGATTTGACATTAAAATTGTGGTTTTAAATGCACTGGAATCAAAAACACAGAGCTGATGTTAACACATGAGCTACACAAACACATGAACGTGTCAGGCAGTCTGCAAGTTCCACTTCAGTTTTTATGCTTATGTTTAAACCACACCTCCCATCATGGATTATATCTGTTCAATTCACTGTCCATTAAATGTACCTACTTATTTTTTTGTAGGGACTGACATTTTTTTGGGGGGGTAGGAGGCATTTCTGCTGTCCTGGCTATTTTCTATATTGACACAGCAGCATGAGGTGTGCCAGGGCTGCAATCCCAAATGCTGGTACAATATTTGCATGGTGCTTGTATTTGAAGAGAGACAGAAGTGTTTGTGTGCTGGATAAAACATATGAAGGATGCAAGGCACTTTCTGGAGTTTGAGCAGCTTAAGCTTCTGCATAAACACAGCAAAGGTTCATATACCTGTACTGTGGTTCAGATGCTCTGACAGAGATGGGTTATGACATGCTATGATTTTTTTAATGAAAAAAATTTTAGCTTTTGAAGCAGAAACTTATTTATCTCAACCATCCATGATGGTAATTTTTGGCTGCTTCCAAACCCACTTATTATTTTGTGTACAAAGCAAATATCATGGCAGTGATTATGCAGCACTGAGTCTTCTCAGCAATGCCTGGAGATTCCCTCTTTGCAAAATGCTTACTAGATGTGGCCTCACTATAGAAGCTTCCTTCTCTGTAGTAAAGAAGAAACAAAAATACAATAGAAGACAGCATTACATTGTTGGATGCCTTTGACGCATCAGGAATGGATTTCATTGCTTTTAAGAAATAGAGGTTCCATCAAAGGTGTTTCCCTAGAGTTACTCTTTCGCATCCTAGTAATGTACTTTATGAACAACAACAAAGAAAAAAAAAAAAGAAAAAAACAACCAAAACCCACCCAAGTCCTCAAAGATGAAGCCTGCACGTGAGTGCTTATTACCAGCGTGTATTCTTGCCCTCAGCGTTCCCTTTCATCTAGCAGAAAACATCTTGAATTGCCGTGTTCTCTCTGCTGATATTGGAGAGGGTATTTGTTGCAGAAGAGGCTTCTGCTGAAGCAAGTTTGCCACTTTAATGCAGGTTTGGTTTTGTTCCTTAACTGGACTGACTTTCTTTGACTGATTAACTTAAATAGTACAACACTGAGAAGGCTTTAGCCATAAGAAACACTTGCTTAACTTGAAATGCATGTTTTACTCATTTACATAGCACCCAAAGTTTTCTTTTTACCTGTATTAACAGCTTTTCTAGTCAACTTCTGAAGCTAAGCACACCTAGTGTAAATGTTGAGGCTGTTGCAAGAACTCTAGACAAGATCTTCAACTGGTGTTCGTCAATGGCTGCTGCCTCTTTTGGCATTTTATTGTATCCTGAAACTCCATATTGTCATACAATGGCATAAAAAGCTAGGATTCAAGACCAGACTAGAAATCTCCCATAATGATGCCACTACAGTCATAAGAAAGTAACCTCCTGAACCCCAGCATGCCAATTTATTTCCTCTATCCCCCCATCTACATCCATTGGATTTGCAAATAATAGAAATTCCCAATTTCAGTTCCAGAGGTTTTTCTGAGATCTGATATGTAGGCATCCTATGTGTCTCTCTTATTAATTCTCTGAGAAAGAATATTTTCCGTATGCATCACAGTGATGATGCAGAATTCTTTTTTCCAACTTTGCTGTTGCCAATGTAGAAATTAGGCTTTTTGGAGAATACAGTGTTATACTTTCTACTTTCTGTCATGTCCAATACCTAGCAAAATGTAATCCAGTGCTTACAAGAGATTCTAAGCACAAATGAGGAAAATGCCTGTTCTACCTGGAGAACATCAAACCACTGAAGATTTCTGGGCAAATAAAATAAGCTGAATGGGTTCAATCCACTTCTACCTTGAACTTTAATGAAAACTGTTGTGTTGACCTGTTTAGTTCCCAAGAGCATATGATCATTTTTATATAACTAGGGAAAAATAATGTTAAGATAGCAATGGAAAAACTAGAACAGCTGCAAAAAACTGCTGTCCATTTGTAACCTGAATTGTTATTACCATTTTTGGATAAAATATCATTCATTCAGTGCTAAATTATATTAGATAGACATGGGCAGAGAGGGAGACATCTGTCCTAGGAGACTCTGAAGGAGATAAAGGGTAACAAAAGCAAGAGTAATGCTGGTCAGCTGAGTGCAGCTTTCACTCCTTTTGCCCTGACATCACCAGAGTTTCATAACATCTAGTCTGAAAAAAAAAAAGACAGCCTCTGGTTTGAAGGTCTGTTTTGGAAAATTGCCCTTTGTGGGTTGTAAATATGGTTGGGAAACTCGATTAACCTCTGCTGGGTCAGTTCTACTGCAGCGGCTGATATCAAAGCAAACTCATTTCATGTTAGCACAGGTCTTATCAGCTGGCAGGGAAGGTACTTTCAGCCCCAGGGCAGGTCTGCGGTTCATAAATGCAGCACGGCCATACCCCACGGATGGACACACAGATGTGTGTGTTAGAGTCAGTGCCTGGCTGCGTCTTCCCGCGTACCTTCCACCATGGCGGTGACAGCTGCCTCCATCTAAAGATTGATTTCAACACTCTTTATACGCATCTCATAGACTAAGTAGGAGGAATTAATGTTCACTTATCTAACAAATATCCTATAGTTAAAATGTCATCATGGAGAGGAAGTAAAATGCCAGTGATTGGACTTTTTATTTATTTTTGCCAAGTTTGGGGCTTTTTTGTTTTGGTTTGGTTTGGTTTTGGGGGGTTTTTTGGTTTTTTACAGGATCCCTTAGTCCTTCATCATTCATTTTGAGAGGTGGGCACTGAATATTTCTCCTGACAGGAGACCATTTGGGCAAATTTCTTAAATATAAAACTTTTTATAAAGTTGACAATTTTATAGAAGCATAATTTAGTTTTGTTTAAATACAACATATATCTGAACAAGCTTAATTCTTAATCTCTAAAGATGGAACAGACTAAGAAGGAAGTAAAAGCAGCCACTGTTTTTGTAATGACCTCAGCCCTCCAACTTCCCATCTGAACAGTCCTATCCAAACCTCTGACTCCTACCATTCCAACTCAGCTTTGAAACTGGAGCAAAATAAGATACAGTGCTTTGCCAGGGGAAGTGAACACTGTTGTTTTGCAAATCACATTGTATTTTAATGTTGTATACTGTTAGAATAAAATATTGGATGATAAAAGCTAACAAAGAAGTAGAAAAAAGCCCCACTTTGATTATCATATTTTCGAAGAACTTCATTAACTTACCCCTTTGCTGTGCAAGGGAAGTATTATAGCGCATTCTATAGGAAAGGAAGTTAAGGTGTGCTGAACACATCTTGTCACAGCCTTACAACTGGTTTTTGAAAACTTAGAGTAAAATGCATACCTTTCTAATTCCTACTCCCTCAATTTGTTGGGCTAAATTGGCTTTTTTATTTTCTGTGTGGCAGGCTGGCTGATGTGATTTTATTTTCCTCGCTGCCTTTCACTCCTCCTGCAGTAATGCTCTGTTTGTAAGGCTATGCATACGCTAGGGGAAGGAAAGAGCAAAAGGAAAAGGGAACCTGGTTAAACCTTACAAAACTTGAGAACTGTGTTCGCTTTTGTCAGCCAAATTTTTTCTGATGATACCCAAGTAATAAAATATTACTGAAATGCGAGTAAATAATTTCAAATGGAATGTGAATGTATACATAAGCAAACAAATATTGAACTCTCTATATAGCACCTCTTAGCTCAGAAGCTGACATCTGTTATCTAACTAATAAACAGAAAAGGGATTAGAGTCTGCTTTGGTTTCAAAAAATGTTTTACCATGAAAGAAGATACTGCTTTGCTTAGAACCTTTTCTAGTCTGTGTTTTCCAGTTGTTTCCAGATTATTACCAAAAAATAAGAAAACAATCAGCATCTGCTCTCATGAAGCTCTTTTTTTCTTAAAGCAAAATATTCGGCTAAGCCTGATCTGTACTGACAGGGCATTCAGCATATATTTTTTTTTGCTTTTGCTTTATGCAGGATCTGGAAAGCACGTTGCCAGGCCTCTCGGAGTGGCAGGTGAAGGCTGGATCCTCAGCTAATGACTGTGTGCAGAACGTGGCTTTCAGATGCCAGGAAGCAGTCGTGAGATTTCAACCAAGGTAAGCCTTGGGATAAGACAGTGTATTTGACTTCTGGTTAACTGTAGGAAATCCTAATTAATTTGCTGCCTTTTGGATAAAATATCCAGGCTCCTGGCTCCCATTGGCAGTTGAATTCTGTATTTATACGCCTAGAACTGTTTGGAGAAAGTGAAAGGGTTGAAGATAAGAATGCAAATTTCATCATTCTTTAAACCCCATACATTTCAAGCAGGAAGAACATCCTCAGTTCAGAAACTTCAATTTCTCTGTGCCAAGTTTAAAAAATATCTTGGCAATTCTTTTCTTCCCCCCACCCCCACCCCCCCACAGTGCTACTTGCCTCACTCTTAGAGTTGTACTCTCACTGAGAAATGGGAATGGGAAGCCACACGCCCAATTTTAGCATGGGGATGCATTTATGTATGGTTTAGACCCTGGGTGATGTGTAACTGTGCTTGTTCCAGTGCTGTGAGGGGTACAGGGTGCCCAGGTCAGGCATTAGCCGAGTTTTGGTAGCAGGTAACTCAGCTGATCATGAAGTAACTCAGCTCTGGTAGCTGCTGGGAGTCACAGTTCCTCCTCCGATCTTTCATGGCTGCGCAGAAGGCTAGAAATGGGATTTCAGCTCACCCAACTGACCCAATCTACCAGTGAGGGTGTCTCCTAAGGAAAAGATTTAGCTCTTATCGACAGGCTTGCAATGTGTAAATAAGACCATGCTCTTCACAGCCATCAGTTTTTGGGGCCCCGCTTTACAGATTTCCCACGCTCGGGTGCTGGTTTGGCCCCGCTTTGCTGCATACATAGAGTTTCAGGCAGGTGAGCCGGGTTGTTCTCTGCCTCAGGGTGCATGACAGCCTTGGTGCTGTGCAGCAGGGGCTCTGGCTCGCTTTGGAGGGACCAGCGCAGCAGCTGTACGTCCCAGGGATGCTCAGCGGGTCAGGGCACAGCTAGCTGACCTACAGAGCTCATTGCCTCCAAGGTCTGTTTCAAGTCTGGCCTAGGTTAGTACTGGCAGTTGCCATCCGATGGCAGTTGGGTGCTTTATGTGAAATGAACTGGTTGGCTTCACCAGAGCTTTCAGTAGGCAACATTGTAAATGATATTAATTTGTGTTCTCAAAGGAAGCTTTAGCAGAAGGACCAAGCATTTAATTAGCTTTCACAAAGAACTGCTTTCACCCTCCAATGCTTGTATCTGCAATTGAGACACTGCAAAGTCCTGCATCTCAGAAAATGCTTCTAATTAGCCCCAGCCTAGGAAGCCTGCCTTCTCTTTCTCTGGCATTCTTTATGCTAGGAAAAAAATCACACCGATTTCTTGTAAAAAGAAGCATAGTGAGTTTGGTATCAGTTAGACCTACCTAGTGGCTCTGCTGATAGGACGTCTGTGTATGGGTAGATAATGAAATAACATTGGTTAATTTTGATTGATGAAAGGAACATGATGAAAGAAACATGGACTTTAAAGATGAGAACCAGAGTAGAGTGTGCACGAATAAAACAGCAACCACAGCAAAGTTCCTCTGTCCATTTCAACTGTTTGGCCTATTTAGTTTGCCTGGTATTAAACCATTGTTCACTATGCTGTGGATTCCTGTTTAGCACCAGAGTAGCTCCTTAGGAAGCCTGCTATCCACAAGCGCTAAATCCTTGGGAAAAACATTCCCACCACCCAGCTGGGGCAGGGGACTTTGAATTATATACGCTGACATTACCACTTCCAGTTTGAGGGTCACTGTGTCTGGTGACTCCTCTTAAAGGTGACCGGCACCTTGCCCCATCCCCTTGCCATCAGTCAGCTTTGATGGGGCCAGAGCAATTACATGCCCGTGGCTCAGCTGCAGCAGATCGCTGGCTGCTGCATCAGGATCACGGATCTGGCTTGTGCAACAGGCTGTGACACGTGGCCGCCAGCGTCTGACGTCTTGCCTTGTTTTCTGCCTTCTCTGCTCTGGGACGTGGCAAAGGTTAAGTATTCAGTCCTGGCAGCAGGCAGCAATCATAGCTAGATTTTGACAGAACACATCTGCTACCCCCACAAAACTCGAGTTTCACTGTCTTCCACCCTGGTTTTGCTAGGTTACTGGTAAAATTAGCAATATTTTGGAACACTACCTCTGCCTAGGGTCCTTAACTCATAGAGTAAAAGCTTTCTGGTCTTTTGGAGAAGAGGAGATGGCCACACTGCTGCAGGGATGCCACTGGGCAGGCTCTTCTGTCTATCAGATGGGTGCAGGGAGGACAGGAGAAGAAGGATTTCTTTCTGTCTCAGACAAAGAAGCAAGGTTGATTATTTCTAGTGCAGCTTGTTGTTCCTTCTGCTTTAATTTAGTTTCTGTCATTAGGCTTGTTGGAGTTTAAAATCTAAATGCCTCTGAACTGTACAGAGTTGTTTTATTTTTTTTTTTTTAAATCTGCTCTAGTGAGTGTGGGGCAGCTAAAAACAGGATAGTTTTCATCTGTCCAAATATGGATTAAAAAATACTAAAATATGAAAAACTTTTCAGTACAGTCCCTCTAAGCAGAGCAATCTAAATTCAGGGAAACCTAGCAAAGGATGTTCATAAAGAGATACGCGACAGAGAAGAACAGAAGGGGTGATATATGAAAAATAAGCTACAGAAATATGATTCATAGCTATATGTGTTGATTGGATTTGGGGGGGGGTACTTTCATTTTCTGATAACCCCTGCAACAGTGAAGGAAAAATTTTGGTGGGATTTGAGGGAAATGGGAGAACAGACTTGGTGAAGAGGTTTACAGTCAGAAGAATGGTGGAATACTGTCTTGTTCTTGAGTAAACTACATCTGACCTGTGAATCAAGGATTTTAATTTCAGGAGGTGTTTATCATGTGTGGTTTATGAACATTGGCATCAATTTAAAATATGAAATGCCATCTGCAAGGAAGGAAACCTTTACATTTTATTAAAAGGACATGAATTCCTAATACTATTGCTAGTGATTACATTGAATACCGCTCTAGTCACTGTATGTAGTTGGGTTTGGATAAGAGTATAATACAATCTGCGCCTCTGGGAGATAAAAGTTATATGCAGGCCCCAGGAACAAATGTTACAATAAAGAGAATTGCCTTTTTTTAAGAGAGAATAGGAAAGTCAGTATGGAACAATACATATGATTACAAAAAAGCTGCTCTTACTGGTTGCCGTCTCAAAGGCAATCAGCAAAACTGATGTGGAGTGCAGAGCTGTGTACGCTGTTACCTGAATAGAGTATGGTGTTTTCTTCAGATGTCTGTTACCTAGAGAGGGGGCTGAAATGTGGGTGTCAGTGTTTCAGAGAAGGTTGCACTCCAAGTCAGTGTGGGAACTACACTTTGGGGTTTTTTTAAGTTTTCTGCCAAAGAAAAATCCCTGAAAGTTCCCCCTCTTCCCCATTCCCCAAATAAAACGGGAGTGGAGTGGTTTCATTTTAGTAGGACTCAGCTGGTCTCTGGGTTGCAGAGTCTGTAGGGTGGCAGTGCCTGTCAGACTGATGACTGTTCTCCAGGAAAACCACAAATGCTGGGAGTCCTGGGCTGCCCTGGATCTTGGGCTCAGCCAGGGTCTCCCAAGGTTTCTATGCTTCCCATGAGGGAAACCAAGCTCCAGTGAGGCTCTCAGTATTTAAGTTTTCAAGGCAAGTAGCTTTTGAGAGTGCAGTTCAGGTGGGGTTTTAGTTTCCACGCTTTCTGCTGAAGAGCTACAGCTCTGGGATGCGTGGGAGGGAGGAGGGAAGCCACAGAAGAAGTGCTGATGTCCCCGTGCCATATGGGGGACCTGCACGGGTGAGGCAGAGCTTGTGAGGCTGCGTTCCTGCATGGGCAGCCAGGCAAGCAGGGAGAAAACTTGGCTGGATTCCCTCCGAGTCCTGCCTCAGGCCTGGCAAAAATTCATCATGACCAGTACGCGTCTGTGAATAGCTCTCTGTCAGCAAATCAGGATTTGCTGATGAAACGTTGCTGGGAAATAATTGACCAGTTCCTAAGGACAGTTTCTTCACGAATCTTGACATTAAAATATTGGTGTTTATGGTGCCAATGATACTTCTTGTACCAAGGCATGGGAAGTCCCTGAGCAAGCTCTTGGGCTGCAATACACTTAAAGGAAAAAAAAAAAAAAAAAGAAAAAAAAAAGATGGGGGGGGGGGAGAACAGAGGGGCAAAAAAAAAAAGATAGCATCTTACAGTAGACCAAATAAGGACTGTGCCTGGTGAGTACGAGAGGCGTTCATAATATGAAAACCAAATGTGGTCATCCAGAGCCATCCTTTAGGTAATGGCTGTGATTGATGAGACCGGCACTGGCATGCTCTCTGGCTGCTTGTTCCAGCATGCAGGGACTGCCCAAGGAGTAGCCCAGGATGTATCCAAACAACCTTGGGCCCTCAACAGTAGTGTTTCTTTCACTGCAAGTGTGTGCTTTATGTTCATCCAAAAAGTCTGTTGCAGTTCTGTATTGCCCTGTAAGGATTCATAGGCATGCTTTTGAAACATTCACCTGCAGCCCTGTATTAAGGTGATGACAACGTTTGAATTTCATAATGCTTTTTGCCATTTGTGGAGGTCTCAGAAATGACCTTTTTGTTTTCCTGGCAAGGAGGTGTGTGCGTTGTGATGTCTGCCTTTCTGTGAAGTCGGGTGATGTGGCTTCTGGATAAGCTGAATCGGTCCTCTGCTGCCGTACGGAGACTGCCCCTTCTGAGCTGTCAACCTGCGAGGCCACCCTCATGGTGGGAAGGGTAAAACTGATTGCTAGGCTGGAGACAGGGAAGAAGTATTGGGCCAAGATAGACTGAAGGTGAATCTGGAAAAAGGGTTTCATGCCACAGCCCAGTGTGTGGTTTGCTTGACAGGATTTATCCTGGCATCACTAATGCATTAATTGGCTCAAGACACTGAGCTTGTGTGGCATAAATGCGTCCTCAGGGGAGGATTAGATTGGACATTAGGAAAAATTTTTTCACTGAAAAGGCTGTCAAGCACTGGAACGGGCTGCCCAGGGAAGTGGTCGAGTCCCCATCCCTGGAGGTATTTCAAAGCCAGTCAGACGAGGTGCTTAGGGACATGGTTTAGTGGTGGGATGGCAGGGTTAGGTTAACGGTTGGACTTGATGATTGGAAAGGTCTTTTCCAACCTAAATGATTCTATGATTCTATAAACATGTAAGTCTCCTGGGGATGGGGTTAGTGTAATCCAGGTTTGGACTGGACTGAGACTTGCAAATTACAGAATGCAATGCTCCTTCCTAGGTTTAGTCTGGGAAATAAGAAGTGAATTTGCTTAGGTTATCTTTAAACATTTATCCTATTTTTTAAAATGGTGTGGTTTTATTTGAATTTTATGCAAGTTTAGAAGGGATATCATGCATAATTCAATAATTCACATGTTCTGGACTGTTTTTTAAACAGCTCACTGCTCATGCAAATTGATCTTCCCCTTGAAGTCTGGTAGAAGCTCTGTTATGAAAATTAGTATTTAGATTCTTTTTTGTTTTGTTTTCTTATGTCCACAAGCTTCAAATGTACATGCTATTGGGTTGCATCTTTGTCACCTGTGCCATGCAGAACAGAATAATTCTGCCAAATCCAGAGCTGCCAGTCTGTGGGGAGGGTGAGAGATCAGGCCTTTCATATTTATAAAGAATGATATAACGCATATTTGAGTAGTAGCCACAGAGAGAATTCCATTTCCATTATTTTACATGGTGTACATTATACAAAATAAGGGTTGCCTGCAATTACTCAAAATTTCAGCTAAGGCTTAAAATAATTTTAATGTACTCAGCACAGATGGAAAATTAGGGCTTGTTCCTGCTGCTTTTGAAGTTAATGGATATTTTGTGATTGACTTTTAATGAGGGTAGGATCCAACCCATAATTATTACATTGTAAGCCCTTTGTTGCCTCGTGACAATCAGATAACCTGCATTTGCCTAGCAGAGCCGTTAATCTTGGTGAAAACAAAAAAGCACCCCCCAAAATTCTCTATGTAGAGTAAGATCAGCTCAGCATACATATGTGAATGTTAATGTAAATGGCCTTCCCACAAAAATGGTTACTCACCTTAATGATTTCAGTATCACCAGACTCCAAAGAATGCAAAACTAAGAGCATCCTACTCCAGTATTTTTAGTGAAAAAGAAACAGTTAAGTGCAGGACTTCTGCATTCCTAAAAGAGCAGAAAAGACCATCATCCTGAATGAGAGAGAGGTGGTACTTCAGGGGTGCTGCAAGCTTTTTACTCTCAAGAGTGTAAGACTCATGAGTGCTACAGCTGTGAATTACGTAGAACTTTATATAGCACCTGTAAGCACCCTAGCAGCTAGGGTTTAGGGGTTTGTTTTTTGTTTTTTTTTTTGTTTTGTTTTTTTTTTTTAAGGACAGGTGACATTTCCTGTATATTACGCACCCTGAAAGGAGTCATCTAAATGAATACGAGAAGTGTACAAATCCGACACCTGTCCTTTTCTTTCCTTTAAGTCTACCTCTTCTTCAATGCAACAAGTCACTGTTCTTTATTTCATTAGTGAATTAGTGTTTGTAGCCTTGTACGTCCTTCCTTACGTGCTATTAAGCCAAACTATGAATATTTCACCCTTTCCTTTTGTCCTTTTGCTCTCCCCATGCTTTTTCTCAGTTTTCTTTAACTCTCTTCTGCTGCCCCATACTGTCCTCTCTGCTGCCTAAAAGCTAAAGATTGGTTGTGAGGCATTAACCTTTTTGCTTCTGTAATTCCATTTTTCTTTTGTTCTCTTGACATTATGGAGGTATTTGCTATTCATTTTCGGGCAAGAAGGTGGAAAAAATATATATGTGGAGAGCTACATAGAGATGTAGATAGGAGCTTGTATGAGAGCCAGCCAAGGCACCTTGCTGCTTAAGTATCTCCAGAAATCACTCACTTCTGCTCATGTACCTGTGTGTCTTGAGGGAGGTGCAGGCTGGCTGGTCTGCAAGACTCCCATGCTGGTGCTAGGTGTACCACCACCTAAATGACTCATTTTTGTTCCTATGTGAATTGCACACCTTGGATCCTGTTTGGAGGCAAGTGGTTATTCACCCTGGGGTAGCTATCTAATATGTCTATTTGGTAAGGAAAGAGTCATATCCATCATTTCAGTCTTCAAATGCCTCATAAATCCATGAAGAACTACAACAAAGGTCTGTGCATCTGTCTATACTGTTTTTGAGGTCTCTAGAGACTTTTAAATCTATTTGGGTTTGCTGGGATGACTCTGAGCACAGCAGGTTGAAAAAATATGAATTACTATGTCCAAAAGAATCTGGCTTTTGTGTTAGTTTTGATCATGTCTGTGAGTGAGTCTCACAGGGGTCAGCAAATGTTGCCATCTTTTCAGCAATAAGAAATCTCATGCTCTGAGACAGCAATAGTTTTCTTGCTTCAGCTGAGTTGCGAGTCAACTTGTGATGCACCCATGTCGGGCTTAGAAGTTGAGTGTGGAAAGCCCCTGTCGGCTTTGGGGAAGGACAGGGCTGTGGTACGAAGATATTCAGGTTGCTCTCCCAATCCATGGGAAGTGTTTTTTAGGCTTCAGTTTCATTCCTGTGCTAGAGTGAATTTGTAACTAATCCTGAAGCTGTGTGGAGCCTTGGGCCATGACCACATCTGCCTTGGGTGGGGCAGTTGTCTCATTAGCCATAGTCAGAGGGAAAGATTTTCCTCTTGCTGGTCCAGGACCTTGCCTTCCTATTTCCATGTGGAGGGAGAAGCAGTGGTACACTGAGGGAAAACCAAAGGTATGGGCATCTCTGATGGCTGCAAAGTGACACTCGTTAGGAAACGTGGACATCTCTCTTACTCAAAGGATTTCCAGCTCCTCATGAGCATCCCTTGGGTCTTTATGAAACCTGCAAAACAGAATTTAAGCAGAACATTGACGATTGGGAGCCTGAAATACCATAGAATTTAAATATGGAAAGATTTATTCTTTATGGCTCTGATACAGGAAAACTCTTGTTCCTGATTTAAAGCATGTGGGACAAATCGTGCTTAGATTTAAACATATGTTTGAGCTTTTTCTTGGCTTTAACCAAGATCCCCAAGATACTGAGAGCTGATCACGCTTCTGTAGGACTCTTTCTGTGTGACAGAGTGAGCTGGATTTTAATGCCACAGTTTCCAGGACATCGTTCACAGTTTAAATATATTATTTAAGATTCCACTAAAATCACTGTTGTTTTGAATGAGGTGTAAAATACAGATGTACCTCGCATAAAAATGTTATTTTTTGATAAAACAACTTTATCCCATAACTTGTAATTTATGTACAGACATGATGAAAAGTTTGAAATATTTACAGCACAAATAAGCAATCTATTGAGTCAAAATTCTTGTTTTGTTTTGTAGAATAGATCAGAACACATGCATTTCACCAAAAGAAGGAACCGAGCAATTTAACAGCTTAAATGAGGTAAGCTTAACCAGAAGTTGAAATATGATGTTCCAAATTTTGAATTAGATATTTGGGTCTTGTTCATTATAAGGTCTTAGATTAATGTAATCTCTTGAGAATCTTAGGTTAGCTTTTTAATGAATCATTCTAGTTGTGGTTTTGGACAAAAACTTAAAAATGTGATACAAGACTGCTATAACAGTTTAAAAGCCAGACGCAAGAGATTTAAAAAATATTTTAAACCAAGTTTATGCTGCTTTCTCTTCAGAAAAGAATTAAATATTTGATATTGACTGAGTGAAATACTATCTTTCAAGAACATTGGATTTTTTCCTCATATTACAACTCAAATGTGTTCAGCTATCTTTAATGTTTTGTTTAAAAATGGGTTCTCAAAGTTGCTAAATCCTGCATAAATAAACTATGAACAGTACAAGGTAGTCTAAAAGGTACTCTTGTGAGATGGGAGGAGGGGAGGGTTGGAGTGAAGAGGGGAAGCAAGGAAAGCCAAATAGCACCTTTTTCACGGGGATTATGACAGGAGGATGATGAGTAGAGCACAAAGCAGCTGTTGGTGTGCTCATGTCAAACAATGGATGAGCCAGGGCTGGATTCTCACAGGCAGCAATATACTGGAGGCCAGAAACAAGCTTTGCAATTATTTGGAGTGGGAAACCCTTATAAAGTGTCTCCCACGAACAAGGGTGTCTGCATACAAGCATAGAGTATGTTTACATACTGCAAGGGCAGTGAACAAGTCTGGACTTAAACAAGGAGCAGATGGTATTTTTAAGTGTAGACCAAGAAAACGGAAGCAGGGGGCAAAAAGAGTTGGGGGGGAAGGGAAGGCCATTCCTGTCAAACCATGGAAAAACAGCTTTGTTTCCATAATAAGCCGGAGACATCTATGTCTATTAATAGACGCCTGACTTTCATTAGGGCAAAACCACAATGTGTCCTTTTAAAGGAATTCAGACTTAAGCTTCTCCTTACAATGAATTATTTCCTATGTATTTGTGACATTGGTGTGCAGCTCACTATCGAAAATCGCAGTGCCGACTAGGAAGGCACATTCCCTGGCCAATATCAGGGAATATACTCAGCCTCTGTCTGGCCAATTAAGGCCCCGGGAGAAATCAAGTTGTTTCTTTTGAGAAGCCCCAATGCAAATAATCACCAAAGCTTCCACTTCAAAGCTTCCATTTAAAATTCTTGTGAAAGATTCCTTAAAGGTTACAATACAATATTATAATAAGTAAAATCATGGTAAGATATTAAAACAGATAATTAGATCAGAAATTAAAATAAATTGCTAATAATTTATGGGGAATGAGCAAAGCTTACTTTCTGGTGCTTTCTTTTGCAAAATCCTAGGTTTTTTTGTGTCTCAGGTCTACTGCAAACCCAAATGGACATGTGTCATAAGAAAATAAATTCCCTTCTTGGACTGGAGAAGAGTGGTGTCTCTCCTCACTGCTCACCCCTGGCACTATGCAGACCCAGGGCATATCTTGTTCTATCTTATTGTTGCTTGTTTGTTCCCCACAAAGGAAGTTCTGAATTGAAAATGTCATATGCCTCAAGACACAAATATTGCCATAACAGATACTGCAGAAATTTATTTATGTTCACATAAAATACGCCTATCTTATTTTAACCTGAACTCGCAGATTAAAAAGCAAGGGAGACGCTTTTATACGTCACTGTTCTAACGTGACATATAAAAGCATTAATTTCCTTAGAGTCAAGAAATCGAACAGGTTGATATTTGCTCAGTTTCTTTTCTATATGAATCACTTCAAAGGTGATTAAATAATGAAAGCTTGGATTATTCTCCTTGTCTGCCCCAGCTGATTTAATAAATACAGTAAATCCATCAATAAACTGGATATAATAGAAAAGCTGCCTTCCTGTCCTGGAGAGGCAGGAGCAGGCCCAGGGGCAGGGTGTGGGCATCCTTAATATTCAGACACACCATGTGTGGGGCAGGGTGGTTTCAGTGTAGGCAGAAAGCACCAAGTCTGGGCTCTACTTCTCCTCCCTTCTCCACGCTGAGACCCAGCAGGGTCCATGGGTGGGACAGGCCTGTTCCCTGTCCCTCTTCCCTCAGTTCTTAAATTTACTAGACCTTAGGATGTCCACAAGGATGAAACAAAAGATGCTGATGATAGCAATGTTTTTTCAGGGAAAGCAATTATTTCTAACCACAGTGGCTCTCTTCTGGCTGTTGTTAGCTACCAGTGAGCATGGGCTGATTAGCAGGTTTGGCAGTGCTGGATCTCCTGGTGCAGTAAGGGAGAGCACGGGGCTGCAAGGCTCTGTTTGGCACGTTGTGTGCCACCGGGCTATGGCCCTCTGGACGTGCTGCCCAAAATGGCACTTGGTGCTGATCCTGCAGGGGCCCCGTGCAGGCACCTCGAGCTGGTGAAGGAGTTACTGACGGCACCTACCGAGAAAAAGTTTATAAGCTATTTCGGGCATCTCCCACTCATTGCCTCAGCATTTTGGTGATAAATCAGGAGTATTTGTTCATTCGGTGTCCCACTCTCCAGAGGGATTTAGCAGCGTGAGTGTAGGTGTGTGGTATTTAGATGTAAGGAGTTATCTATCATCTCAGTAATTCCTTACCGTAAGGCCTCAACTCTTGATTTTCAATAACCATTGGGTGGAAAGAGAGGTGGTCAGTAGGGTGCAGTCCACAGGCTTACTTGTTTGTAAGGATGGTTTCTTTACTACAGGCTGAGCTTCCTCTGCAAATGGTAATCCTTTTGTGATGTGTTTTCTCCAGCAGGCAAGAGTATGATACTTTAATGACTATGTTTTCTTAAAGCGTTAGCAAAAATTACAAATAGGAGAGAAATATCACGCTGCCTCTCTTTCTGTTTTCCTCGGACTTCCTGTAAATGTATTTATTTTTCCATTACCTTTGATCTGGAATAATGCAGGATGTTTTTTCTTCTTCTAGTGGAATTGGCATAGCTCAGGTTCTTTAAGAAGAGATAGGAAACCTTTGTCCAAGACAATTACAATTGCTTCTTTTTCAGAGTTTCAAAATACTATTCTTAAGAGGCCCCAATATGGTTATTTTTCCAATGAAACTTAAGGATCCATTTTAAATATTAACATGACCTTTCATTTGCATTAGCATGGATCAGGAATCACTGCATCAGAAACTCTCGTGTTAGGCACCACAGTAAAGCTGGAATGAGCATCAGATCTGAAGTATTTGAACTGACCTCATTAGCTGATATAATATGCCATAGCTTAAATTACATCAGTGGTACTGGTTTCTGATATAAGAGCTTACTAAAATTTATGATGGTACCCGCCATGACCTAACATTTCCCTTTCTATGTATTTTAGCTGTTTATATTTGCTTCTAACATGTTTTGCAGCTTCTTTTAAATGGCCAAGAGCAGAGATGGTCCAGGTGGGCCCCAGGGGCAGGTCTGGACCATGAGAGATTTTTAAGTAGCCCGTGTATAGGCTGGTTCAACTCCAGCTTAGATGTGCTGCTGCGTGTGCGCGGCACAGGAAAGTACACGTCCCCATCACTGTGGCAGGATGCCTGCAGTCACATCAGGGCTGTACAGGTACTGGAAAGGATTGGAGAATTAGCTGGGGGAAGTTGGAAGCGGTCAGTAAGGTTTGGGAGGTTTGAGAAGATGAAGACAGGGCTCGGACTTTATTTTTCTCCCTTCTTGCCTTCCGTTTGCTGGCTGTCAGTAGCACGTTGGCCTGCCCCCAGCAAGCCCAAGGACAGAGGACCTGCTGCCAGTTGCTGGTCGATGGCTGTGTCCCCTCCCAGAGCACTTTGCTGCTCTGCTTGGGCTGCAGTTGCAGAAACGGGGGCTGTGCTGCTCCTGCCACAGAGCAGGGGGCCGAGGCTGGCGGGATCCAGCCCAGCTGCTCTGGCATTGCTGGTGCTTCAAGCAGCCCTCTGAGAGGGGCAGGAGAGGACACGCAGCAGGGCAGGGAGCAAGGTCATCCCTACCATTTACTAGGATGCTCCTGTTGCCCATAAGTTGGTGACCCTGGCCAGCTTTGTGCTTGGCCTTTGCTTAAAGCTGTGTCTCCTTTACATGTGTTCCCATAAATATGTGGTGGCTTTTCAGGTATAGTGCGCTGTGGCAGAGCCATAAGCACTCGGCTGTGTTTTAGGAGCAAGATGAGGTCAATGGCATGCACCACATTCATCCTCTCCCTGGTCACGTCAGAATGAGCAAGGCTACTTACTCTTTTTCTCCCTACATCAAATCCCTGTCAAGGGTACATTCATGAAATCATATAAGGTATTTCTATTATTATTATTATTGTATGAATTTTTTTAGTATTTGGCAGTGACTGGAAATTTGCCATCTACCCACCTTCCACAGATGGATGAAAAATATCATTTAGAGCAACTGAATATAAACCAGCTGGTGAATTACAGCATAAGCATTGCTGAAATACAATGTTTAACAATGTAGTCTGTGTGAATGCTTTTATACTGAACTTGCCATAAATATTAATGTATCATAAGAAATAGTGATGCAAAGTGAATGTATTTTCTTGATATGGGAATTTTTTTGTCAAATGCTTGAAGTAACAGTCTGTGAAGGTTAGGTATATCTGTCAGTTATTCGCCTATGTTCACCTTGTTGGTATGTTCTTCTGGTATGTTTGCCTATGTTTTCCTTACTTGCCATCAGTGGTTCTCATGATAAGGTCTGGGCTGGGATCAGAGTCCTCACTGGTCCGTAACTGGTATAGTCATCTTTTGCTAAATTACATTACTGACTGTAAAAGGCTGCCCGTCTGTTGTGGTAATTCCACAGCCACTTTGTTTGGGTCTAGCTGGGGGGAGAGGCAGTGGAAAATGAGGCCTGTCATGTCATGAAAACTCTTCCCAAAACAGTGCCATGGGTGTGATTCAAGTCAGCACCCTTCCCTTGACAAGGAAAATTCACTGCCACTTGAAAGCTGTTGAAGGTGAGATGGTTTCCATCATTCTGTCTCTAATCCAAGAAAGCCCTGTAGAGGATTAAAGAAGACTTTGAAAGTGCCTCATAAAAGAAGCTCAAATTGACGGTAAGAAGTCTACTAAATACATCAAAGGCAGGAAGCCAGGTAGGGTATTGCTGGGACTGCTGGCTGGCTGACAGGTAAAATGGCGATACAGCTGTAAACAGGGAGGCTGAGCGCATGCGTTATGTTGGTCTTCACTGATAAAGCCCGTGTTGGGGACATTTGCACACCTGGTAGATTATTTCTAGCAGACAGGTCAGAGGAGCCAGGTCAGTTTGAAGTAATATATGTAAAATGTTGGGGCAAACAGTGTCAGTAAATGACAAGGGAACGATGCCAGTCATTCAAGAGTCCTGGAGGAACTGCTGGTCAAGATGGGTAAATTATCCTTACAAATGGCAGCTGGGCCGGAGGACGGTAGGTCATTAATGCAACCTGTACCTGAGAACAGTGAAAATATCGTCAGCCTCAGACCATAGAAACCAGCTCTACACCATACCATATTTTTAAAGAATAGTATTACATTTAGGCATTTCATCATGAATCAGTGCTTGATCTTGCAATCACTTCTTTCCCAGTATTACAGGATGAGATTTCAAACTGTACGTTGACAACAGACAACAGGAACATAATTCTAAAATAAATATATAACACAAGCCACGTCTTTGCTCACACGCCTCTTCAATGTCAAGCTGCTTCTGACAGGAATGGCCAGAGCTCCTGTTCGCTCTGGGACCAGAAGGAAGGTGTTCCTGCATGTCCTTTCTGACCTAAGCTGAGGCCAAAGTCCAAGTGTTTGATTGTAACCTAATCTGGTTTGTGGAATGAGATATGGATTTTGAAGCGTTCCTGCCAGCACATAGAGGGGCGCAGGATCTAGTTATGGTGATCCTGTGCTTTTTTTTAAACTTCACTATTTTGAGGTATCTCCTAGAAAGAGCTACTTTTGTCTCCCTTTTCACTGCCTGAATTCTGTAAAAGGAATGAAAGGGTTAAGGCTGAAATATTCCCTGCTGTTCTCAGCCAAATTATTTTCCTTTTTTTTTTTTTTTTAAACACCTAAAATCACTGTCGTCCTTGTGTTTATAGAAGGGCTGTATTACAATAAAAATAATGCAATGACATATTAAGCTACTCACTCCATAGGTGGCATATTGTTACACAAAGGAAATTATTCCAATAAATAAATTCATTATTTCATTAAATGAATCAGTAAATTGGTTTCAGATCTTTGACAGAGTGGGGAAAGGAGCTTTTCAGGGTATAAACTTGAGGAGTTCTTTTTCTGTTGCAGCTCAGATTTTTTTTCAGAAATTGCTCTTCACAACTATGTACCATTTGAGGGACTTACCATTTTACATATACTTTGGTGCGTGCCAGCTGTGTGGTTATTAAGGCAGCCTTGTGTGATTTTGGTTTATGTTGCAAGCTGTATTTCCCTTGAGACAGGGGAAGGGAGCGCGTGGGGGTATGGGCTGTGACTCATTTTGCCCGGTCAGATGGTGATGAGGGCTTTCACAGCATTTACATCACAGCGAGATGCTTGTGTCAGATTGTACGGCTGAATATTGCATGCGGCATTAAAGATTCAAATGAGAAATGGACCAGGAATGACACAGTAGCTGGGAGCAATGTTATAGATAACCAGTCTTGTCCTCCTTGATTTGTCTGCAGCAAGTGACAATGATCTGTTAATTTTATCTCTGCAGCGAGTAGGAAATTATCTGGACGCCCTGTAGAAGTAGCAGCAGCCTCCGTAAAAGCTATGTCTACATAAAGAAGTCTCTCAAAAAGCCAATTAAAAAATATCTCTCCCAAGAATCCCATGCGGGAGCGTGTTCTCAGTAACTCTTTGTTCGCTGCTGTGTACTGCACAATAGGCTGGAGAGGGAGATTTGTTTTTTTATGAATGGTAAATGGGGAGGGACATAATGTCATCAGATCGTGATGTCAGCCCAATGAATGAAATACTTGCTTAGTGTATTGCTTCAAGACCAAGAAAAGGGACACCATCTCAGTTTGCCTTCCTAGAATAAATCGTCTTTTGCTGACAAAGTCATCTTTCCCACGTGTCATGAATAATCCATGTAAATCGGGACTTAAATAACCAGAAGTCAAGAAACTCGTGGAATAGTGCACGTTTGCTCTCTCGCGCGTCCTCCCAGAGCTGCTAGTGGAACACCCCTTTGCAGGCGCTGCTAATGGGCTCAGGGAGTTGAAGAGCTATCGCCGTATTCTGTTGTTCTCTATCTAGCCCAATGTTCTGCTTTTGTCTGCAGAATTCTTTGTTGAAGCTGCAAGCCCTCGAAACCGATCTGTGCTCTGCATTTCTGCCAACCCAGGAAGAAACTCCTCAGCTGCCGGCACCCAAGGATCCAGCCCCTTCATCAGTCCAAACCAGTGTGCAAGCTGATGGGGCCAGTTGTGGAGGTAAGCGATCGTGTCATGATGTGTTCTCATTTGCAATTATAAAAAAGCCTTGTGACTTGCAGTTTAATATCAGATTTGCAGTCCTCTGGGAAACAGTGCAGAGCTAAGGCAAAGCACCGTTTCCTGATGCAAATGCTGTACAACGTAAAAAGGGGTGATATCTGTTAAGAGAACGGAAATTAATGGCTATAACATTCTGTTTTTCCCAGAGGGAATCTTGCTTTTCAGACAGGTCTTAAGAATCCTGATTCTTTCATTTTCAGTTTTAATCTGGTTTTTTTTTTTGGCTCAATAAATTTACGCTCTTCACTTCCTGTGTCTGCATGGTGCGAGCTCACCTGCCGTACCACGTAATTCTATTTTTGTCATTCTTTTTGTCAGAGCAGTATCACTTCATTTCTCCTATTATTGATTTTAATTTAATGCATCAGCAGAGAGATAGCGAAGGTGAATTTTTAAGGCATGTGGGTTTTAATCATTCACGAGCCTGTATTATTACCCATCTGGGCAAACTGTGGTGTGTTATCTCTCCCTCTTTCCTCAATATGGAAACCGGTCCTGGCAAATAAATAGCCCAAAGGGTTGGCACTATTTTTGTCAATTCATAGCTTGTAGTCACAGGGCTGGCAGAGTCGTGATGCTCAGTGGAAGAGGAATTGCTGTTCGTGGAAAAATAGGTCAAAGGCGATGTGACTAACACATCTCACAGACAAGTGACATGAATACACAAATGCTGAAATCATTCACCATGTATGGTCCAAATTAAGGCAGACAGGTCAGCAACCCCTTTGCAATTGATGTTTTATGTCAGAATGAAGCCTGGGTTCAGAAGAACTTATTTCAGAACCCTTTTGCTCAGAATTTTCAGCAAGAAATAGCAGTGAGTTATTTACCTAAAAAAAAAATCACAAATGATAATGCTCTACTTAAGAAATTCTGAAGTTTGAGGTTTGCATTGTGCAATTAAGGAAAATGGTACATAGAATCTGAATTATTATAAAGATAAAGGAAGGTAAAAAATACTAAATACACTGGATTTTAGGTTAAAAAAAAAAAAGAAAAAAGGATGCTTTATCTCAGCTAGGCAAATACCTTAACAGCTCTTGGCTACAGGTACAGAACTTGCACTGGTGCCAGTCCCTTGGCGTGGATCTGAGGCAGAGGCAGATCTCATATCTGCTCTGCATAGGCAAGAGACATATTGCAGCCCATCCGAAATCTGCACTCACCCTTTTCCTTTATGGCAGGGTGGGGTTTTCCTCCTTTTCCAGTGGTTTACTGAATTATTTTGTTCTGGTAGTTTCATAATTCATTGTTAGGATGGTTCACAATTGTTTCCTTTGCTTATTTTTGCTGTTTTGATTGGATTTTGGTTTAATTCATACTGTTTGTGAGCCCTACTTCTGATACCCTCTCTAGATCCTATTTGCCTGTCTCCAGCTCCACAGGCAAGTACTGGATGATGTAGCATTTCTCTCACGCAGTTCAGAGCATGCTCTGTCACTCCAGCAGTTCAAACTTGTGCTTTAATTAAAGCTTACCTATTTAATGGATTTTCTTGTATGCTCATTCCTAAATAACTTGCTATTTTGCATAGACAGAGCTAGTCCTAATTCTGTCTCTTAAATTACTACTGAAACCTCCTGATACATTCAGTTTAGGGACAGTTTTCACATGGGGCTGCTGGCTACTTCAGCTCAAACTTGGATGGAAGTCCAGAGACTTGTACCGGGCTAGGAACAGTTTTTAGAGGGTGTGCCATATATACTATGTCTCTGGTTATTAGCCTTTGCTCAGTGAATCAGGCAATAAAAATTTTAATATTAACAATGTACAAATGTATTATTTGTAAAATAAACATGATTGGGTAGTCTATTCAATTTCTTCTTTTTCACATCCCAGTCAACAAAAATTAGAAAAAAAAGATACATTATATATTTGGTGAGTGAAGCTAGAGCAGTCTAGTGAAATGACAGGGTATTTCAGGATGCAAATTTTAAGGGGTGAATGGTAATTCTTATCTCTGAGCAAAGTCAGCAATTTCCACTTTACTTCTGAATATGAAAAAAACTTGAAATAGAGCTGGCAAAAGGAGACCATAAAGAATTGCAAGGGGGACTATTAAGCTAGGGGTTTTTTAAGGGAAAAAAAGAAATGCAAAGTGTGAGTTATTTTTATAGCTTTTGGACATGAGTATACATCAAATATGTGACTTGAGCAGTGAGCAGCTGAACTTGAGTACAAGATGGTCTAAATGTCTTTTAAATTAAAAATTAAGATTCTGGCAGTCACAGACATAACATGTTGAGGGCTGAACACATTACATCTGCATATTCTTTTTTATATACAGATTTATACAGACATATACAGAATATACAGTGTATTATTGTTTTGCTTAAAGGATATCACATGCAGGAATACAGACTTGTAACATATGACTTCTTGTCATATGACTGAAGTCCACATTATGAAGCATACTGCATATTATAAGATACTGGATCTTGTCTTTAAGTCCTCTGGTAAACTCTTGTCTGTGCTAATCTGGACTGAGTAGATGAGATGGAGGAGAGGCAGTCTATGGGCCACTTACTGGCTTGGCTAGAGGTGGCTTTAGTTCCCAGTTTTAGCAAAAGAGAGGCTAAAAGTAGATCAGACACATGAACACAGCTTTGGTCAGTTCATGATCTACTCTCCGGATAACGTTTGGTGTCTTGTTTACGTTCTATGCAGAACTGGAATCAGGATGATGGCCCTAAGCTGTAATTAAAAATGGGGTTGGTTATAACTTGTCATCACCCTGAGATGTCCCGCTATTATAGTAATTGGGCCACGTAAATGAATCAGTTCGAATGACTTGCTGACCACTTCTGGTCCAGAATGTGTCTGTGGTAGGACTGGGACTAAAACCTTTCCTGGGGCCCTAACAAAGTTCCACCAGTTTGCAAGTTTTAGTGGAGCAATGCCGTGAGGAAGCCCTGGTGCCAAGGAAATGGAAGAGCCCTGGCCTTTGGGGAATACTCCCAAATTCACCTGGCACGCAGGTTGTCTCCATTTCATTTGTTAGCTGAATAAAAAAAGCCTCCTTGAACTCTCTGAAGCTCTGTGTGCTTGGTCTTACACTGAGGCTGCTCCGGCCACTCCTCCTCCTTTGCACTGATCTTCCAGGAGTGTGTAGTCTTGAATATGTACTTTTCTTCCATTTCTGAGACTGCGTTGGTCCTAGTAATGTTGCCTGGTCGTAAATGTGAAAATGAGCAAATGCCTGTGACCATGCAGTGCTGAATGCCTCCTGCAAGAGGAGGACTTGTAGGTCTGCAGAAAATCAGAGTTCAGTTGTTGGAAACTTTTTTCCTGCACCTATCAATCAGACACATACTGGCTGTTTTTTTTTTTTATAACAACACTTTTTTTCACAGTGAAGAGATGGCTACTTAATACAACTATGAAAAATGTATTCTTTTTAATAACAGTGCATGAGAAATAGTGACTCTATTCTTAGTCAACCTACTTCAGTGATTTTATGTTTCTTGAAGTTAAAAGATGATGAAATAAAAGGAAGGAAGCCGGTTTCTTCTTATCATCCATATTGTTTCTCAGAAGTTAAAAAAAATCCACAAAACAAAACCCAAGCAAAACTAGTAGTTTTTTAAAGTCTTACAGGGTAAGGAAAGATTACTTGCCAGAGAGAGACACTTTTGTTTGCAGAACAACATTTATTCCAGCCTTTATTGCTATATGTTGTCTGTGTCCATAATTTCCCACAAGTCGTCTACCCTTTTCCTTAATGCTCTGCCCCTGCTTCTCCCACATGCGCCTCTGCCTCTCTCTATGGGAGGATTTGAAGCTTATACACCATTCACAAGTTTTGGGAATTGCTCTGGTATCTTGGAGAGTTGAATTTGACCTAAGGAGTATGAAGTACTTAGAGGAAAGATGCTAGGTTAGAATTAATAATCAACTACATTGTCTTATTTTGAAAATGCCTAACATAATTATAATTGATGGCATTGTTAGAGTAGACTAATTTATAAATATAAAAGTAATGTGTAACTTTTGCATGACAGACTAAACTGTGATTATACAACATACAATTGGGGGGTTTTGTTGTCTGTAAAGCAAAACCAGTTGGATAGTGCCTGATAAAATGATATTTTAGGCCATTGTAACTATTCTTTTTTAAATCAATAGTTGCTTTCTGTGAAGGGTGCCATTCAGAGCTGGTTTGTCCCCACTGTCCCAGTGCAGCAATTGGGATTTGTGGCTTCAGTCTCTTTGGGCAGAGGCCAAATAAAACGCATTGCAAAGGTTCCATTAAAATCCTGAAGGAAATATCAACTCACCATGGGGATGTCATGCCCCATGTACAAAGGAGAAAATGGGAAGAAAGTGAAGGTGAAAGAACTATTCTAAACCTGTCTCTCTTATGTGAGTAAAGCCACATACAGTTGTTTTCCTATGCATTTTTAGGCTTTCATTGAATGAAAAGATTCTGTGAAATGTATTGGAATACATGCTGTATTGCAAATATAATACTGATTAGAAATAGCACACATGCTGCCTGGAAATACAAAATAATTGCTATGAATTCGAAGGCTATATATATATACACATGGTTTTAGAGAAGAAAAAATGTAGCTGGTGCAAAATATTATGTACTATGGAAACTGATGTAGGGGAACCTGAGACAGAACACATTCTTTGCTTTAACATGTATTAGCTGGTTTTTGGGGGGAGCTTCTATGAGAGCGTGGAGTTTCTCCCTAGAAGTATAATCTGATTTAAAGCACAATCATCTGATAGCAAAAATATCAATTAGGCTCAATCATCCTCACCCATTTTTCCCACTGAGAGTGAGGAAGAAGATTCAATGGTTCTTCCCATTAATGTACCCAGGTACAGCAAAGGGAAGATGAACTCTTGGTATTCCCTGGAGGTAGGCTCTGTAATGTGCCCATTATTTTCCATGCTACCCATAAACAGAATCAGCGTGATGAGGTTCACTAACTCCTACAATTTTGGTCCAGAATATATCATTCTGACTTCTAGCTTGACCATCTCTATAAAGCAAATTTTACCTTTTGAGGCAGCTGAAGCAAGGTTTCCAGTTACAGTCAAAGTCGATATTAACATAGTGTCATGAGCATGACTCCTCCAAGTAGCAGTCACTGCATACTACCTTGAACCACTACCTTGAATGTTATGGTTGTTATTTTCATATCTTGTGTTCTTTAGAGCCATGTGTATGTTACTTCAAACCATAATGAAATTCTGCAGGATACTGCAAGCAACACTGGAAGTTCTCAGCATCAGGATATATATTTTGATTTGCCTTTCTCTTGACCAAAGGACTAAATGCTAAATCACAAAATTAAACTTGTTTTGTACACTCGTCATCTTCTTCAGGAATGTGGCTTTCAAAAGCAAATGGATCCATGAAAATAGAATTAATGCTGCTATTCGGGGAAACTCTCCGTCTTTATATTATACTTCGTAGTTTACAAACACACCCACCCACCTTCTCCTGTGGAACTCAGAAATGCTTTATGTGAAGCCAGTCCTTTCGATTTTCTCATCCTCCGTATTATGCTCATCCTGAATGTGATACCTTGCTGAGCTTTTTGCTGTTTACTTTGAATATTTATACTTTGAATACTTCTGTAAGTATAGATTTGCATTTATCTAGGTGGATAAATATCTTGTGAGTGACCCTCAGCCCACGTTGGTTTATGCTTTCTTTCTAGAGCCTGTGCCAGCCCACAGGGACTGGCAGAATGACATGGACAGCAGCCCACAAGAACACCACTCCCTAGGGACCAGCCGCCTGCTGTATCACATTACGGATGGAGACAATCCCCTTTTGTCACCACGCTGCTCTATCTTTAGCCAAAGCCAGAGATTTAATCTAGACACAGAGTCTGCCCCTTCTCCACCAAGTGCTCAACCTTTCATGATGTAAGAAAATACATTTTGATTCTTAGATATTTTAAATAATTTTTGTACAATCCGTGATCTTTGACTCTTTATGTTTTATTCAGTTACTGTAATGTCATAAACAAGAGATTTTCATATTGTAGCATATTTTGACATGCTTAATTGCAATACCAGAAATAGGATCTAGCATTTTTTTCAGTAATAACACAGTACAATACTGTTTGAATTCTTTGTTAGTTATAGTTAGCAAGGGCAGTTTTAAATGTTACTTGTTAGTAATTTGTCTGAGGAGTGAACATCAGATAGAGAGGGCTATCAAGGTATAATACTAAAAGGTATTTAAAATTTCAGGTGTAATAGAACTATAGCTTGAGTCATTCACTGGATATGAGAGTGTCATAGCATGTATGAACAGGCCATAGACGTGATCTCCAGAAACCAAGCTTTCTTAAAAGCTTATATACATAGCTGTCAGCTGCATATGAATAATAATCAGATCTATTGATTTGTAATGGTAAAAAATCAGAAACTAAACTGCCTTCAAAATGGTAATGTTTATTCCCAGTAATGAAAAACTCTGAGATTACTTTTACAACTCATGTCGTTACAGTCTCCCATTACAGCTGGAAGATTTGTGCAGTAAGATGTGGGTGTTACATGTAAATACTGGATCAGGCTGTGACCTACTAGACTGAGCTTTTGAAAAACATTCAGAAATCCCACAATAAATTAAAAAAAAAAAAAACAAAAAGTGAGTGACAGACAGATGGTGAACTCATCAGTATACCCTAGGGGTACCTTCAAGCAAAAGCAATTATTTTATGCTTACTTTGTAAAAATAAACATCTCTACCTTGTGAAAGAACTGAGCTACAAATTCTGAAGTGCTGGGAAAGTGTTAAGCGTGCCTGAAACAAGGCATGGTCCCTCATAGCCAGTTCTTTGACCCAGCTGCTATGCTTTTGGCTTTTGCAGGCCGAGAAGTTCTTCTAGATGTAACTGTGAAGAGTGCAAAGAACCACAAACAGTAGCACAACTTACCAAGCACCTTCAGAGCCTGAAGAGAAAAATTAGGAAGTATGAAGAAAAGTTTGAGCAAGAAAAAAAGTACCTGGTAAGATAATAATTGAAAAGTTAAAGGGAAATACTACAGGAGGCAAGCAAGAATCCCAGTGTAATTAAATTTATGCAAAACAATAAGAAAAAGGGTATTTTGGTTAAAATGAAATAGGAAAATCATCAATGAGGGAATATGTTTTTATCATCTTTCAGTGTATGTAGTAGTTCTGAGACTCTAATTTGCATTTTCTTTGGATTACCTTTGTTGCAAAATATCCATCTTCTAGATGTGCGAGAAGTGTGAATCAGTGAAACGTAGCTGACAGGCTTGTGATCCAAAATGATTCAAAAGATGAAAAGCTACTTATGTACTCTGTAGAAGTCATTTGCTTGGAAACTGTTGTTCTGCTCTGCAGCTTCATTCAGGCACACCCCTGCAAACCTCCAAAGCAACAGAAGCTGATGGCAGAAATTAGAGAAATAACAACCGTGGTGTGTTGCTGGAGGGGGGGTGTTTGAGGTCACTGGTGCGCTCCGAGCAGTGTATGCGAGATCATCGCTCGTACCGAGCTAGTTTGGGTAATGTGAATCGTGCAGTATAAACATAGCGCAACATCCGTGGTGCTAAGTGTACAGTGAGAAACAGGGAAGTTTGTGATATTGTATGACCACATTGAAATGAAAATTCAACAAACCGTGTATTACCTTGTAGTCTCATCAATGACTGCAAACTTAAATGTGCATTTGTGAATTGTACTGCCCTATGGTCATCATACGCTCTTAGGGGTAAAATTTCACACTTGAGCAGCCATCACACTGTGACCAGAAAGGAATTTATTTCAGAGGTTTAATGTTGCCAAACTCTTTTGCCATTTTAAATATCTGAGTTTTGAAGATCCAATGTAAATTGATTTTTATTTGGAGGCAATTTCTAAATGCAAAGAAAGAGGTGATGTACAAAGCTTTTGTTGTTTGTTGCTTTGGAATTCACTCTGTTGTACAGGATTTTTTCATTCAATTAGTTAAGCAGTGCAGCTGAAATGGATAAAGTGCTGTTTCCCAAGAGAATCCCTGTCTTAAAGCCATAGGGGTTTATCCCTGCAAGGGACAGAGTGCTTCGGTGACCATCATGGAAATCACTTAGGAACTTGGCTAACGTTGGGTATTTGAGCAGTCCTTTTGAAGTCGCTGAGACTACTTATCCAGTTAGCCAAGGATTTAAAATCTTTTTTTTTAGGATCAGAGCCAAAATACTCAGATCCATGTAGCCCTGTGCCACAATGGGGAGAGATAGGGCATGATAAATCAGTACCACGATCAAGCCAAGTGCTCTGCATGACACTATGATACCGTGCAGTTGGAACTACGGATGGTTTTTAGCACACTGGGTGTGGATAGGTTTTTATCTGTTTGACTGGATAACCATCGACTCCTTCTTTTTTGTTCTTCCTTTTTTTCTTTACATTCAGCCTTCACATGGTGACAAGACTTCCAATCCTGAAGTTCTGAAATGGATGAATGACTTGGCCAAAGGTCGTAAGCAGCTCAAAGGTACGCAATGGCATGTTGTTTCACTTCATTGGTGAAGCTTTTGGAAGTATGAGTGCATCTGGACTATTTTAGAGTTAGTTTCCTAGCCCCCGCGCTCTGCTTATTTTTCACTAGTGCGCGGCAATCAGTCTCCCAATGACAATGAAGGTATGAGGTGATATGACTTGCCTTGGTTCCTGAAAGCAGGGATTAAAGTAAGCCAGTTCAATGCTCATAACAAGGCTAAAAAGGGGAAGGGGAAAAAACCATCATCTCTCCCTCATAACATCCAAAAAGTGATGTTAGTCTGAATATTCTTTATGTGTGTCTGAAATACAGAACTACAAAATTAAAAGTGCCCTTGTAATAGTACAAATGTAGGTGCAAAATGTTTCCTTCGGACTGAAATTACACAACTCTTTTACTTTTTTGATCATAAAAATGGATCTTTCCCAGATATTGGATTTGGTCTCAAGGGTCAAGTTTTGCTCTTGTCTGTCTGCATGCCACTCCATTAATGTCTGTGGCTGTATCACATGCTTGCCCTCAGGGAGAATGTAGCCAGGACTGATTGATTTTTTTTTTTTTCAAAGGTTATCTATAATTTATCTAAATATTTTTCCCCATTATAAATGGATTCTTACTACTAATTAAATTGTGGTATTTTGTTTTGTGTCTTCTTTTGGATATAGTTAAGAATGTAGATATAGAGGGTGTGATTGTGGTAAATAGAGAATTAGAAACTCATCTTTCAGTAAATTTCTTCTGGAAAGTTCTTCCTTAAATACTAGGCTGTGTAATTACTAGATTTATTTTTTTTCCCCCTTGAACTTTGTGTTACAAACCTGGGAAGGGCAAATGAGAGGAAATGGCCAAACTACGTAGTTAACTTTCTGAAAATTATCTCTCTGACTCAGCCATTGCTTCAGCTAGCCAGGGGGTCTAACTTTCATAGATCAGCTTCACCTTCACACCCAGAATACCTTGATCCTGTGAGCACCGTTGATTTTGACATCCTGAATGATGACACTGCTTTTAAGTGAAGCAAGATTCATGAGGTTCATGGACAACTGAAATGGAAAAGCACTCAAGTGCTTGTAGGTCCTTCTTCAAGTTCGTAAGGCTTGTCCATCCTTCCTGGCTCTATGAGTTTAATAGAAATTACTGTTTTTCCTTACAAACCTGGCCTGTATTCTCAGACTGTCACAGCTAAAAATTACGTTACGGATTCTGCATGGATTTCAATAGATTTAATACATTTCGAGCCATCAATCTCCAGCCTTGCCCAAGGTCCTTCACCAGCCAGGCACACGCTAGGAACAAAGCCTGGTTTTACAGGAGATAATTCATACCTCAATTCAATTTCCTTGTTGCTCTGTGCAGGTCCCTGGAGCTCCAGGGTCTTTGGCTTGGTGTCAAGCTAATATACTTACATTCTGTATTGCATCCAGGCAGGTTGCTGGCTGCAAAGCTAGGACATACTGTAACCTATATGTCTTCTGCTGAGTTGCTCAGGTGCTCTTCTGCCAAGGGAAGTCATTCAAGCAAAGTGGCGGATCCTTCCTGTGGGGACCAGCTCGGTAGCCTGGCTGGGCCGGCGATGCAGCCTCCAGAAGGGAGGGTTATAGTTTAAATTGTGCTAGGGAAGAGGGGGGCTGGTTTTGCAGGCCTGCAGAGCGTGGCTCCAGCTGCCTGGCAGCTGGCGTGGGGGGCTCTGTAGCACAGCTCGGCCTCCCCAGCCCTTCTCAGGGCAGGGCCTGCGCCCTCCTCGCTTGCACAGCAGCACGGGGGGCAGGCAGAGCTGGGCTGGGAGTGGGGCAGGCGGCTGCGGAGGCTCTGCCTCCTGTCCAGGAAGGCGACTGTGAAGGACTGCACCCTTAGCCAGCAATCCCCACAGCAGGCTGGGGTGTGTTCTTACTTATCCAGACATCAGATCATTTGAGAGTGCATGGGCTTAGTGGGGAGAAGGGGGAGAGAGAGCTCTGCTTTCCATATCCCACCCACACCAAACCTCCCACAGATACTCTCCAGCGCTCTGTCCTCTTAAGCCCCTTTCCTAACCTCACTCCCACTGAAAGTCTGCACTGATTCCTACCCAGACCCCACACCTTAACCCAGTGCCTCTTCAGCCCTCGCCCGCGGTAACACTTTTTATGTCAAAGAAGGGCTTGGAGGAAAAAGAGAAGTACATATGGGCTATAAGTTTTGTTGGCCTGAACACATCTCATCCCTTGACCAATGGTTACTTTCCCACATAACTGTGGTATAATAATTGTACGTGAGAAGTAGGGATGTTGTTTTTCTTGTAGGATCAGAGGAAACTTCTTTGCAAATATTTCTAATCTATTTACTTGCCAAGTAATTTGTCTTTCAGAGCTGAAACTCAGAATGTCAGAAGAGCAAAACTGTACCTCCAGAGCACCCCAAAGAAATGATCATTGTGAAAGCACTGGGACCTCTAAAGAGGCTGGGACACAGGAGGCCACAAGCACGGAACCAGCTCCTTCAGTAGAAGAAACCATGGATAGTGTATTGAGACGATTAAAGGAGAAAAGACACCACTTTAACCTTCCTGAGACTATTAAGGTATTTAACAAGTATGGCTGTTTCTTTCAGAACTTTATCATCCGAGGCAGATATTAATTAGCGGGTAGCTGTCTCAGTGTGCTGGTAGGGGTGCACCCTGTGCCTCTGGCATTGCAGTGCATTTTCTCTAACGAGATGGGAGCTCTAGTGCAGTTTTCTGAAGTGACTTCTCTGTGAAGAGTTGCACAGAGGAAGAGGTGCAGAAGGTTTTTTCAAAGCGTGCTAAGCGCTTTTTGCTGAGAGATGCACGGAAGTGTTTGCCAGGCACTGCTGAAACCTCCCTACCTGAGGTTGCGTGCGCGGGAAGCACGCGTTCCATTGTGTTGAGGATGGTGACAGCAAGAGCCATCCTATCGTGAGTCCACAGAAGCTGTGTGACTAAAAACATTTCTGAAGTTATTTTGAAAATAAAGGTCCCCTCTCACCTGAGAAATGCCAAAAGCCTCTGCCCCGTCGCTAGCACTGCGCTGTGATCACATGGACAGCACAGCAACCCAGACCGCTTTGCCCTCTGATCTGTACGTTCACTTGTGCTGATACTGCCTCTGCTCTTCCACGTCCTCAATTACTCTTCTAAATTTAGGAGCAGTATTCCATGACACATGCTTGCTTGGCTGGGAAATTTATAGTTGTTTTTCAACTAGTACATATTCTAAAATTCTGCTGTACCTTCACACTACTGGCACATCATAGGGTCTGTCTGCAGCTGTTGTTCTGCAGTACATATTGTCCATAAAAATACTTTTTTGGGGGGACTATTTTTGCTGTCAAATGACGTTGCTATTCCTGATGCTATACAGCCAAGCAAGACAATAAATTCTGTCCTCAAAAGTACCTAAAATCCAAATGTTGACAGTAGCATTTAGACGCTGGCTGATGAACGAAAAAGAGGAGGGAGCCGGGGGGGAAGGGGGAGTGAAGAACTAAATGCTAAACTAT